TTCTATAGTGTGCTAAAATTACAGTAGCAACATTAGCACACACCATAACCGGACAGGGAGAGTGATCTTGCTTTGTTATAAGCTCTCAAGTTCACAATGTGTGCTGACGTAGCTTTCGGAGCATTTTTCAGGATGAAAGAAGAAAGCTTTTTAACGCAATAGCGTTAGAGCTCGTTTCGCAGAAATTCCGGTGTCGCTGTCATTTGTTGTCAGCGAAAAATCATCATCTTATGCCTGACCAAAAAATCCAGAATGATGCAAACAAAATAGATGATAAAAAAATCTGGTCAGAGTGAGGCTTGAATCAGGGTCGTTTGGGTCCAAGTGGGGATTGAAACCTGGTTGTTTACGTGGCAAGCGGATGTTCTATGACATGGCCACGCGTCTGCTTGTGAATATGCAGTGAAAAAACTTCCTCTGCTTGGAAATGCAGTGACAGTAGCTTTCAAGCCTCACAATGCAACATGAAATATTGCAGTAATAATGCATGGCACAAGTTCCCATTGCCAGCAGGCGTCAGAGCATGTGATTATCATGACGGCTTCATGGTTTACAGCCGGTCGCCCACTATAAAAGGCACACACGCTAGTGCGCCTATTCCCTTAAGGGGGGAGGCTACCATGGAAGGGCAACTTTTTCGTTTGTTGTGATACCCTAATGAAATTTTCAGGGCAGGCTAATAATGAGGCTATTTGAATAACCACAAAATTTCATGCATTTAGGTTCACTGGTTTCCAAGTTGCAGCCATTTATCAGGATAGTCCACATAGGTTACTTAGTCAGGCTCTAGTGAATTTAATAAATGTGCTAGCACCGTGAGATTCACTGTGATGATTCCTGGATGGGTGCTTTACACTAGGACAGAGCCCTTTTTTTTTAATTTACTTGCTGAAAATTTTTCGCAGACCACTGGATTTGGTGTTTGTTATTGAGCACTTATCAATGAATTTTTAATTGTTTATCACATATTACAGACACAATAAATTTAAAAAGCGGCTCTGTCAATGTGTGGGCTATTTATTGGGGTACATAATAAAACAAATCTGATATAAATCAGATTAACGGTTGCAGAGATATCACCAGACTAAACAGCCTCAGTGGCCAAAAACGTCATTCGATAAAACGGACTGAAAGTTTCAAACAAATATTTTGGTCTAAAATGACCCTGCAAAGTAGCTAGAAATGTTCTTTAGGACTCTCTTGCTTTTCTGCTTTTTCTGCTTGTGTTGCAGCTATTCTTGAGCCTTTTTCACACGGAAAGGGTCTTTCTCGGCGGCCCATTGGTTGCCGGCATAGCGGCATCAGTTGCCAACATAGCGCCCAGCTTTGGTTGCGCAATAACACGTTCACTATCTTCCGCGACTAACTCCTCGCACGTCTAAAATGCTGCCGAATGCACACGGTTGCACTGTTCGACGCGGAGGGGGGGGAGGTCGCAGTTGCACTGTTCGGGTCCGTAATCACTGCAGTTAGTGAGCGCAACACGCCAGGTGCACTTGAGCATGAAACACCAACACCGGCCTCACTTGTGACGGCGGAGCGTTGCGTTGATGGTGTAGCAATTTCGACGTCGCGATAAGCATCACTGCAGTCGTCGTCTTGAAGAGACGAAGGAGAAGCTGCTCAGCATCGATGCGACAATCGTCCGTGGGTTGGCGCGTGAACGAGCCTCACCATGTGTACAAGGTTCATCAGACGCTTTCTTGAACAGAACGCGTGCCGAGTCCCAAACTTTGCCCTGCCCATCATTAGGGACAGAACAACAGTCAGCGTTCAGTGAACACGGAGAAAAATCGTCTCGTAAGGACGGTGAAAGATTGAAGAGCACGCGTCAGAACCGAGCGGAATGATGGCAAACGGGACACACAACGCACGCTAAAAGAACACCAGCGCTTAGCCGGTGCCGGAGCAGACGGCAAGCCGGGGGAACAGATGCATCATCGTGCGCAGCAGCCAATAGGAGCTGCGTGAGCACCACTCGCTTGAGAGGCGTGAGCTCCCTCCAATCGCGGCTTCTCACCCGAACCGGGGAGACTTCAAAAATTCGAGAGCCCCCCAATCATGAGCAATTCCCCCTCGGCCACTGCTGCTGCTGCTGCAAGTGGCGAAAAAAAAAAAAGAAAAAGAGCAAGAATTCACGAGCAAAACAAGACCAAGGTGGCGGTGCTAGGCCGCGTGGTTGGGAAATTGCAAACGCCCGAAGTTGGGGTATTTTCAGCGCTCACTGGCCACTCGCCGGCCGCCGCGGCATGTTATACAATTTATCTGACGTACTTTCGCAATGAATTAAACATTGATATTTACAGAACAGATATTTTATCACACATACTACCCAAATATGTAGTTTTCAAAAAATCGACTTTTTTGCGATGTTCTGGTTTTCAAAGGGCGCATCCCCCCTTAGACCATGTAGTGGCTGCATAGCAAGTACGAAAAGGTTTCGTGCATGGCGTGTTTGAAGTATCCACTAGAAACAGGATATCGCTATAGTGCTCAACTCTTGCTTTAGGGTCCCCTAATTTAATGCATACAAAAGATTCATGTTACTCCCCTCATTCTTGATGAATTCGAAACATTTATTACGGTGATCAATTTCTATTCCTAATACTGAGGCCATTCTGTGATTGCTTATAAAACTGGTTCAGTACCCTCATGATAGGCTTGTGTTAATCCTATAAACAAGTTGGTTAGTTTAGAATCCTACGTGTATTTTGCATGCTCCAGAGGTACTCATATCATAGAGATTAAACATTTCCAATAACGTGACAAGTTATCTCACCCATATTCACTTGCAGGGGCATGATACACAAACTGTAAGTTCGGACGCTGAAAATTCGGACATGCTCTTTTATTCGGACACCTTCGTGGTACCCCTACTTGTCCAGTTGAGATAATGTAAACTCTCGACTAAACATTCGGACGGCCCACAACGCACCGTTCAATTTTCCAGACCCTGGCTGGCTGACAGAGCGTGACATTCAGTGTCATGACCAGCAGTCCGCATGATGTTTATGATAATCTCGCTAGGCTGCCAACACTGACAGGTTGTTGCACTGGCTATGACTGAATATCGTGCCAGTGTAAAAATATCTGCACAAATTACAATTACCGATCTCTATTTTTATTTTACTACGAGTTATGAAAGTTTTCCGGCTTTAGCCAGCCTTGTATACATTAAATGGCTACAACGGCCAGACCGCAAGCCAAGCCATGCTTTGAGTCAGCTCAGTGTGCCGTTGGAGAATGACTGCATATACTTGAAGAAAAACTGAAGTCAACGACGAGCGCTACAGCATGAACTAGCCTGACCTCGTTCTGTTATGGTATGCGACAGTTTGCATTGTCAGTTATTTCTGCATATAGGCCTGATCAGTGTCTCGCTTTCTTGTTCGGTGTTTCACGCGTGAGGCCTCATCTGTTGGAATGGCTCCGACACCACTTGTTCCCTTTGCATAATCATTACCAACGCAGTAACGCGGAAACTACAAGACACTGACGATAGCGAAGAAAGCTGCAAGGTTGAAGGCAGTCGCTGACAATCTGATGTTGCTTGAGAGAGTTTGCCGAGTTAGACAATGATGAGATTGTATGTCAGGTCCTCGATCTCATGCCGGTAAACAGTGACTCCAATAAGGGGCCACCCACACCACTGTTATAAAATGCAGATTTAGCGCAAACTGCAACAGCATAGTTGATGACATACAATTGAGGCCAAACACTGGCCGAAATACAGGCAAACTTGGTGATCTGTGATCGCGCTTGTGTGCAGATGTGCACCGACAACTTTCCTGGCCACTCGGCCAATAAAGGTGCTCTTTTTCCTGGTGGATTTTTTTTTTTTTGTTTTTCAGAATCTTCATCATTCAGACACTGAATCCAAATAAATGGTCGGTGACTGTACCGTGCAATTACTGAAGTAATGGCAAATAGGTATTCATAATGCATGTGATATCTTTAATATCTTCAATGCATGTGAAGTACAGCACCACGAAAGAGGTAACAATTTTCTGTTACAGACAATAATTCAATACAGCCAAACCCCTTTATAAGAGACATTGATATAAGAGACAACACCAGTTGTGGTGCCAGGCATGTCGAAGTAAAGGGGCGTCTGATCGGCATTCCCGATTTGCCCAAGCAGGTAGCCGTTGTTGTGCCGCAAGTTTAGAACAAACCCCTGAAAACTGAAGCTTTTCATCATACTCCTCCGCAAAACTTTTCGCATATGCCCATTCACCTTCGGAGAAAAAAGCCTTTCGTCTTCATAAAGTTAGTTAGCCAGCACCTGTTCGCTTTAAACTGGTTCCGCATTAGACCTTTTTCTAAGGCTGATTGCATAGTCCGCACTTGGAGCAGTTCTGTCGTCACGGGTCGCTGTGCCGCTCACTGCTCAATCTCATACTCGCCGAGCAGCTTTTCAATTTGCGGAAACCGACCCTGCTGTGGTCCACTGAAGCCTTTACATGAATCTTTGTTGTCGACAATATTCTGCTTTTGTTTTCGCCAGTCCCGCACGCACATTTCGGGAACTTCGAATGACCGTGATGCGGCCCGATTTCTGTCCGTGTCGGTACACGCGATGACTTAAAAGCGGCATCGTGGTGCACTCGTCGAGTTTTTGGAGTCGGCCCTTCCATGCCGTCGATGCTAATGTACTACCAGATGACGAACTCCTCAGCACACGTATGAAGTGCCGCACATGAGAAACACAGGCAAAAATGGCCAACGCGCCATGCCGACGCATGTAGGGGGCGCCCATTTTGGAAATGCCGATGGCAATAGAATGACCGTATTCATTTTTTTCGTACTCGATTCTAACGCGCATGCGATTTATGAACTTGCTTAAGTGGAAAAAAGGTGAGCGTTAGATTGGAGTAATTACGGTAATATAAAAGACACGAATTGCTGCCCAGAGCAGGTCTCTTATAAAGGGGTTTAACTGTATATACAACTTTAATATATCTGTGATTGAACGCACTAGAACAGCGAGTAGTACATACCGTGTGTCGTTTGAAAGATCCTGTGTGGTGCGAAGGCACACTTCCTCGATCAGGCCTACAATGTTCACAGCCTCCGGCATCAGCAACTGCTTGCAGCTGCACGAACCAGAAAAGGAAGCATGTTACACTAGCCTACATTCTTTCTAAACTTTGAACAATATTCCAGTTTTCAAAGTATGTCATTTTGCCTTACATGAACCTCAATATGTCAGACAGTGTGGAGATCACAAAATAGTTCAATATACACAACCAAGCTAAAGAATGTGTCATAGTTAACAACTCAAACACACCACACCGTCGTTCATGCTGCCTTCCGAGTCCAAAACGGCTAAGCATGTCGCTAAGCTGCTTGCGTCGCCTTCACAAACACAAGCAGCTCACTGCTATCGTGGCACTCATGTATGGTCAGGAATGGAATGGAAACAATGAAAACTCCCATATCAAAATCAAACACATGAATATGGAGCAGCAAGCACCCCTGTAGTGATGACGTCTGCTTAGTAGGCGACATGCTGCACACAACTAGGAACAATCAGCTTCATATAACAGCAAATGATGCATGTCAGCAAAGATATTTTACAGTATTGCATTGTTTGTGCAAACACATTATATCAGGAAAAGTCGAACGAGTCGTCCGCTCTCGCACCAGTCTGTGTTTCGCGTCATTTCCAAACGCCCCATGCAAGAATGCTGTAATTTTTCCGTGCTTTGCTAGTATGGACAATGCTCATCATAGGACAAACTGACATTGGCAGTTGGCATGTAGTTAAAGGGACACTAAAGTCAAATAACAATTTACGTCAGAGTGAAAGCTAGCTCAACGTATGACATCTAAAACCACACTATTATCAACAACAGTGCCCTACTAACTGAGAAATTAAGGTAAACGCACAAGAACACAAGCGCCGCAGTAGGACATTTTCAAAAATGATCCCGATGACATCAGACTTACCGCCTACAATTAATCCCTAGTAATCAATCAACTGCACTAAATAAAGAGCCTTCCCTGGATCAAGAGGCACAATAAACTGCTGCTTATTCGTTTGTGTTTGACTCATGGAGAAAAGAACTGCCAGACCTTACTATGGGGAATGGCACGAGTGGTTCAAAGATTCAATTTTGCGTGGTTACACGTGACAGGTGGTGCCATCTAGCGGGGCGCAGTTGAAACAAAAAAAAACATCTACAATCTCGCAGCCAATGGCAAAAAATTGATCAATGGCCGTTGTTGCTGCTATGGCTCCCGCTGCTTTCGGCCTGCTGCTGCTAGCGCGGTAAAGCCGGGCAACGTTGTGCACGGCAACAGTGACGTGAATCGGTCCAGTGAGTCTGCTTCTTGAGGCGGGTAATTTGAAGTGTGATAACCCGATGCGGACCACTAAAACGTGATTAAATTTTCAAAATAGGCCCTTCCTTGGCACGAAAGGAGCACTACGAGGTTTCTGGACTGATATTTGAACAATCACCGTCGATTTAATAGTTGCCTTTAGTGTCCCTTTAATCAGGGTTTGCGGCAGATACCAAACGTATTCAGGAGCCTGGCCGAATACCGAAATGTCTGGAAAGTGTACAAGATTTTCCACAATTTCGGATGTGGCTGTGACAATCTGACTTCTTCAGCGCAATAGAAAAACTAGAGTTGGTGTTTTCAAACAACTTTGCAGCCTTTATCACATCCGAAAAATTGGACATTCATTGCCATTTTTGCCTTAACCACTGTTGGATTAGCCCAGCTCATCAGCACTCTCACCACTGTCACATTTGCTCAACTCATTGGCACGCCGCTCAAGCTAATCATCCTCTGTGCCATCCATGGAGTTTGATGGTCCCGTGATTCCAAAGCTCTTTGCAATGGTGTCCACTGACAACCAATGCCACACAGTCACAAACACAGACTTTTAAAGAGACATTCACGTCATTTGCCCTGTCGAAGTTTCCCCATTTGAAAGGAAAGACCAAAAATGTATGCGATTTTGAGGTATTATGGAGGAAGTACAATATAAACAAAACAGTAAAAACTAATTTACAATTTCTATTAAAAAAAGAGAAAGATGCTACCCAGGAAAATTCACTAAATGCACAGTTTGACTTAATATCCTAAACGTTACCACCGAGAAATAGTATGAAGCCGGAATATACAAATTAGGTTTTGCTATAACTTGATAGAGTTATTTTTGATATATTGAGGTTTGACTGTACTTTCCATTTCTGATTAGTTTGTTTGAGGAGGAGAATTGGCTCAGGACTCAGATCAAAGTTGGCAATACCAATGCCCCCACTTTTTATTTATACTTTTATTTATTTATACTTATTCCTACAGTGCCCCCTGGGGGCATTGTTGTAGGGGGGTTTAAAAATTCAAAGTACATTTAAATCAATGGGGACAAGTTGAATTGCACGACACACAAAAAATAAAAACTTTTGTACTTTAACCTTTCATCAACGGTAAGAACGAAGCATGTAGGTGTCGGAATGACTAACAGTCGTACCTTGATATAACGATAATGAATATAACAAAGTAGGGAATAGTTCCTTCGTAGAAACATTGTTATGGATATAAGTTTATAAGTTAAAACAAATTTCTGAATATTTTTGTCTTTTCGTGGAAGGTGTAACTTCTTTGTAATGAAGTTTGAGTGTACCACTCTGGGTACACTGGAGTCACCAACATGCACTTGAGTAGCAAACTATTCATTGTAATACGAATACCCAAGATATTTACACCCAGTAGTGTTTGCTTTGCCTTCTAATTATGTAGTGCTTGTGTAGTTGTTCCCTGATGTGATTACATTCATGTCACTAATATTAAAGGGCCACTCACCAGGCCCCATACCGAATTTTAGTTAGACAGTGAAAGTTGCTGGGTGTTCGATGAGAAATGTTTCGCCATAAAAATTTTTCGAATCGGTTCATTACGAGTAGAGAAAACAGGTTTTTTGAAGCGACGCGAAATGAGGGTGAGAGGAGACGAGCTCGAAACCCTTGCCGATTCTTCACGTAACCTTCGCAAGCCAAACTTCTTCCCCACCTTTCCAGCATCTGACCAAGAGGTGACGTTCGCATGACGTGCCCGAACAAACCCAGCCCCCGTGCACGCGAGTGGCGCTGTTTTGTTGACCAGCGTTATTTTGTGGTCTTCTGCCTGTTTCTGCGGGACTGTTTGGAAACGCTGGCTTAGACGCGGTAGAGTAGATGAGCACAATGAGTGCGCAAACGCGTAGGAGCGTTCCACGGCGGTCGTCTGCTCAATGCGCTGACCGCGAGAACCCGAACGCATGTGAAACGCTGGCACATTAGCCCTGCATCTTGTAGCATTTCACGGGAAAAAATGTAAAAAAAACGTGCACAATTTTTTATTGCACCTCATTATTTATTTCAAGTTTTATTCATCTCTTAAAGCAACAAATACGTAAACTGCGCATGTTGTGTTAAATAATTTTTGCCATGTCACGTGGTATACTGTTGACAACGTCAGAGCAGAGTCGTCTACGTAGAGGACCAACGTAACCGCAGTGCTGTGTACGTAGGGCCATTCCTACGCTTACGTCGTGCCCTCATTCACTACGCGTGCGCCGGTAGAGGGGAGGGCGAGCAGCTTTCATCTTGAAATTTGACCCGTTTCCGCGGCGCGTAGCGTTGCAAATTTTGGCAGACGTGATCATGAATGCCTCATCTACGCATAGCGCTTGTCAGCTCAAAATTGTCAAAGCTGGTGAGTGGCCCTTTAAAGAACTTTTACACTTAAGCAGCTTTTCCATAAATACGAAGGCGAAGGACCGCATTTTAGTTTCACAAGGAGCTCTCCTGGCTATGCCAGTACAGGGAAATCATGCACACTGCAATACATACCAAATGCCAACCTGCAAAGACATAAGGACAAGACAAGATTTCAGATGCGAGGTTTAACATCACAGCCAAACAGTTTCTTTTTTGCAGTTGGAAAAACTAACTTTACATAGAATAGCTTTCAAATGTAAAAGAGAACAGTCCAGTACCAATGGCAGCACTTCAAGTGTTATGCACTAGTACAGCTTCCTCACCTGCATATCAGCTGGCTGAGGAGCTGGACAGCTTCATGTTGAATAGAAGGCAAGATGGCCGCAACAACATTGGCCTGTGCTGTGGCACCAGAGCTCTGCAAAATGCAAGTTACACCTATGTACCTCAAAGCCAAAAGAAGAAAACTACATCCCCACCCTACCCCTAAAATGTACTTTTACACACAAGTTAACATTGCTAGTAAAAACAACCATATATGGAATATACATCACTGCTGCCCAAATACATGTTGTTGGGCTGGTTGGTATATGCCTAGAAAAAAGTGAGGACACAAGCCACATCGAAGAAAAGACAAGCGGACAGGAAAGAGCACCCCTTGCAAATGGCTGTCCCAAGTAATGTGCTTTTCTGCAGTCCAAGTTCCGTAACCACCCTCAGGCTTGTGAGTGATGCTGTTATGCTCGGTATCAGACTTATTACAGCCACCTGGAGCTCCTATTAGGTGCAGCTGAATTAAGTTACGTAAATGTTCTTGCATTTTGTCCGATTCGAAATGCTAGCACTACTAGCAACTGAACTAACATTCTCTGAATTTACAGCACAATATTATGGCCCCCAAGCCCCGGCAATGGGTAGACAGACTCAGCAATCTAGTAACGAGACTACTCGAACTATGATAAATTCCTCAAAACGACTCACAATGGCACACGTGCCCCTTACTGGCCCAGAATATTCTGGTTTAGGACCACTGACCAGTTCAGAAGTACTAACCTTGACTGGAAGGTGAGCACCGAGGACTCTGTACACAAGCTCGAGTACGTCCTCAAATGGAACAAGCACCGGCTGGTGCATGCTGGACCTGAGGAGAGTAAAACATCACTGGTCTTACGAGGGATGTTTTCTACTGTCAAACCAGAACACAAAATTCAACATCAACAGAGGTGTAGTTGCATGAGTAAGTCTTTGCTGACGCCACTGGCTGCGACAGACATACCGAATATGGACACTTTGACAACACTTGTAAGCTAATCTGCTCTGGCTGTAGTTGTGCACTGCTGTTAATGATGTGCTCGATAAAAATAAGGAAGTTACTATCAGTCAGTGTGTGACAACGTGCTTTGACGAGTACAGGAATGGCACAGTTCTCCACTTTACTACTGCCGGTGTGCTTGTAAATTTATCATGATTATTGGGCAAGGCAACACAGAAATTTTTACTTTGTTTAAAAATATTTAAAAAATTATAGCATAAATTTCAATCTAGAAATCTTACATTGAAAGTTCAGCTGCCATTTGGGCTGCCAAACGCATGAAATTTTTTATGCATTGAGCATGTTCACGATACAGTGATGGAAGTGAGTTTTTACTTTTTTTAGCATTCTTTGGAGCAGGAAAAAAAAAGAATGCTAGTTTAGAGCAGCTGCTCGTGTCTTTGGAGCCGATACAAAATTTACCAAACATTAATTGGAGCTCAAAAGCATAGCTGCAGGATCTTGTAAATATTAATATTTATTATGAAATATAATTAGCAGACAATAACCAATGTGCATTTAAAGAAGCAATTAAAAAGATGGCTGGTTGTCAAAAATTTACTGTGAAACGAGCTTTATACTTAAAATACTAGTACTTGTGGCAAAAATTAAATCAAACCTGTAAAGCTTAATGCCACAATTTAAAGGAACCACAGTCCATATATAACTGTTGCCAAAGAAAATGCAGTAAATGATCAGTATGAGATAAAAGCAATGCTGCTCATTTTCACATTTCACCACACTAGCCTCCATGTCTAGCTGAAAAAGCATAAAAACAGCCAAACGAGCTCATGGCTTAATAAGCCAGTTCTTGTTTCATAAACTAGATCAGAACCAATAATACTGCACACTAGTAGCCCATGATAGTGCACAGACTGTTTTCAGTTTTTTTAGGACGAGTCGGCCAAACAGTAAAAGTTCATCATTCTCGTTCTCTCAGTGTCATTTCGGAGCAGGTTTGAAGCAATTGAAGCAGAACGTCCATCACTGGCAATGTTACCCCTACGATGATCACGTTATAGCTAATCAAAACAAGCCCAGTCAGTTCCTTTCATTTATCTTGTTCTTCGTTGATTGGCACTTGTGCTGCTTTATAGCATTTTCGATTTCCATGCACTTCAAGGATACAGAAAAAAATTTGAAGTGCCGTTGTTTCTTGATTTTACATGCTGAAACCACAATACAATAATGAGGCAATAGTCAGTCCCGATGGATTATCTTTCACTACCTTCGGTTTCTTACAGCTAAATTTATGTACGTGTTTTTGCATTTCACCCCATCAATATGCAGACACTTCGGCTGGTTGAAATGTAAACACCTTGGCATGTGAAGAAATGCAGGAAAGGGTTACGTGGCACTGTTAGGGTAAGCTGGACATAGCAGCGAATAGGCTAGGCAAAGGTGAACTTACCCAACAAGCATTAGGCTGATGGTTCGCATGAGGCTCATAGTGCGGCGCCAGCACAGGAGGCTAGCTTGATGGCTTTCTTCTGGTGAGCTGGGAACCTCCAGGGGAACTGCCTTGTCTGTTCGAGGCCGCCCTTTGTCTGTTAGACAGAAGAGGAAGAACGAGTCTCGGAAGAGGTGCATTGCAATCAACACAAGGCCAGGTAAAAAGTAAAAAAAATTATGCGGCCATGCTGTGCGTGCGCCAGTCGCAGACAGTGCGTGCGCCAGTCGCACGCGTACTTCTGAAGCCCCGAGTACGCTGCTCTCTACCTTCATTCGACAGTGTCCATACAAAACAGCAAACAGTACGACTGCAGATGGCACTGATCACGTACAGATAAATAATTTAAAGCACACTAGAGAAGAGCAATCCAACTCAACCGTCACGCAAACGTGTTCGACGCACAAGAAAAAAGGAAAGGCACATCCATAGGTTGCCCATTGCTGATGATAGTAGTGATGCACTGCCTTCCATTTTGGTTGTTTAAACCACCATGTTTTTTTTTTCTTGTTTTTTTTTTGTGCCTCCAAGATGTACTAACCATGAATGAAGTTTTGAATCTCGGAGGCCGCAATCCGATCCCAAGCTGTTTAGGTGCGCCGTCGATTCGGTCGGTTGAATCCGCTGCTGCTTTCTTGTCGTAACTCGACCACAGTGGAGCGTTCGAATTAACCGAAGCGCAGCCGAATTTGTCCAAATTAATGAGACTTTTCAATCATAGAACAATGTACATTTTGGACGGGACCAGACGCCGTGGCCGAATTAACCGAAATTCTGAATTAATGGGGGTAGATATTACGAGATTTTACAGTACTACAGTTAAACCTCGTTATAACGAAATTGGAGGGCCGCTGCTATTTGCTCGTTATAACCAATATTTCGTTATAGCCGTAGCGGGCATTTACCGCAAATATTATGCACTGTACTTACCCCAAAAAAATAGCGTGTGAAATAGCATCCCGCCGCACGGTGGTATGCAACAAAACAACCGCATTCCCAAATAAAAAGGAAAAAGTCATGCACCTGTTTTAATGCACTTCAAAATACACAGCTTGCATTTCAGGCAGACTTAGCTGCAAAGAAGTCCGTAATTGGACGTTGATGCATCTTCCTGATGCGAACGATGGCTCGCTCAGCTGCGGCCGCAATGTTCAAGCCATTTTCGCCGCCCTCGTGAGGGCCGAAGTAGCGGTGCAGTACGTCCACCGCGTCTAATGCCTCCGCAGCGTACAAGTCAACATCGGTGTCTCGCTTCATCCTCATGTTGAGCAGGAGCTTGTTTATCACACGCTTGCGGTAACCTGCCTTCAGCGACATAATCACGCCTTGGTCAAGTGGCTGTATTTTTGCTGTGCAGTTGGCAGGAAGGAACAGCAGCTCAATGTTTTGAAGCACGGCAGCGGTATGGTGGGCGCTGCAGTTATCTAAAACAAGGCACACCTTGCGGTTCGCCTTTGCCAGCTTCTCGTCCCATTCGCAAAGCCATTTTGAAAAAATCTCCCTGGTCATCCAGGCTTTGCGATTGGCTACGTACTTGACTGGGAGCTGCCTCTTCCCCTTAAAGCGGCGAGGGGGTGCACTTTTGCCAATTACGAAAATTGGCAGCTTCTCAGAGCCGGTCATGTTTGCACAAAGTAGCGCAGTGATCCGCAGCTTACTTTGTTTGCCGCCATGACACAGCTCGCCTTTGAGGGCTAACGTCTTGTGCGGCAACATCTTGAAAAAGAGAGCGGTTTCGTGCGCGTTAAAAATATCCTCCGCGCTGTATTTTTTCTAGCAGCCGCACGATGTTTTCTTTAGCCCACTTGGTAGCCTCTGCTTCGTCGACAGATTGCGATTCGCCGCAGACCACTCTCCCGACAATGTCGTGGCGCTCCTTGAAGCGTTGTAGCCAACCCGAACTTGCTACGAAGTTGTCATAGTCCATGATGCAGGCAAAGTCTCTTCGCTTTTCTTTGCAGCAAGGCGCCGCTCAGCAGCAGATTCACGGCCCGCGTGTCCAAGAACCATTTAAAAACGGCCCTTTCAACCGCTTCAAAGGCAGGTGCCCTCATCCTTCTTAGCGCTTCCTTTCACGCCACGTGCAACAGCGTCGATGATGGACTCCTACTTGCTCAAGATGGTTGACAGTGTGCTCGTCCATACGCCAAAGTCTCTTGCCACGTTGCCTTTCTTAGTCCCCGATTCGACGGCTCTTATCATAGCCACCTTCTGATTTAGCGTTATGCGCTTTCGCTTCCCGCCTGGCGCATTCATGTTGCTGGAATCACGAGCGCAGCACGATAAAAGATAAGGCGGAAGCGGTCGAAAAAGAGAAGAAACACACACGCAAAAGCAACGCGGCTCACGTCGGCGAGCGACAACACTTGCAGAGAAAGTGACTGTGAAGAGGAAGGAACAGAAGGGGCGCTCTTTTGCGCTGCCCTCTAGGAACCGGTTCCTCAAGGGGAAGGGGGTATGTAAGATTAGGAAGCGCGCCGCAGCGCCATAAGAAAGGGGGGAGGGAGAATATAAAGAAGACACAAAAGAAAAGGACGAGACGTTCGTGGAGCTGTGGAGCGCTCCGCTGTCGGTGGTAGCCAAGCGGCGCACGTGCAGCGACCTCTCCTCCGGAAACAGCGCGTGCCATCTGCTTTGCGCGCGTTGCTGGAGGGCGCGTGGCGGGAGTTTTGAACTGCTAAATACAGTTCTCGCGTTGCGCGCCGTCTCAAATTCGCGTTGTGCACTGTCGCAACATCGGCTTAAAATTTTACTTCCTTAACAAAATTTGTTCGTTATATCCCATAACAGACAAATTTTGCCTCAGTTATAATGAGGTTTCGAATACATTGGTTTGTACGGGGACTTTCAAGGGGAATTAAGATTTGCTCGTTATATCCATTATTTCGTTATAGCCCGTCTCGTTATAACGAGGTTTAACTGTAGTTAGATTAGTGTAAACACTCTACTTGAAAGAATAGTTATTATGAAGCTGAGCCAAATGAATGCTTTTTTTTGTTCCTTTCCTCCCCATTGTAAGTATACTTCATTCAGTGTTTTCAAGCAACATATTTGGGCGCACTTGGCATGTTATTAGCATGGTTTTAGGGGGCACTTCTCATAAGCCAAACTCCTGATAAAAATGAACAAATGGTAGTGGTCCCTTCAAAATCATCTTAAAGGGAGATGCTACTTGAAGACACCTTTTTTTAATATTCACCCTAGAGCAATGAAACTTGAGCTGTTTATGGAAATGTTTTATGCTGACTTTCAAATATATAATTTGTTTTTTGGCAAGTTGCTTACATTTAGCTCTGCGAAACGACAAAGTGAAAACCTTAACCCTTTTGCCCCCCCCCCCCCCCTTTTCATCCCTAAACTTCCGTAATCTTTTACCATTCATAGTTCATAATGTTTAAAATAAAGTGTAGAATGCAAATAACTAATTAGGAAGCACAAACAAAATATGTAATAGCCATGAAAAATAATAGACGTAAAAATTCCATATTTCACTTACTCTAGTAAAGGTTTACATAGAATTTTTTTCTTATACAATAAAATACTGAAATTTACATTAGATAACTGCATTCGCAATACTTTGGAAAAAATATGGGCAAAATTTAATGCAGATCAGAGCACTCTAAGTGCTTGAAGAGGGAGGGGCGCATTGAAAAAGATGGCAAAATTTGTGTTTTGAGAAAAACGAGTTTTTATGTTAAAATTGAGTTTTTATTTATGAAAGATATCAATGAATCTGATGAAATTTGCACACCAAAAAGAACAATCCTTCTTTTAGTGGCCACTGCAGCTAAGTTACGCCAGCCCCATGAGTGTCCCTCTCGGCTTTTTTGACCCGACTCCTCACAGACATTTCGCTCACAGACAGAGCCATCAAACGCTTGCCAAACTTTCGTTCCATCTGGCAGAGCCTTGTGCCAACTGCAAGCTAGGAAGAAGTTCGACAGGACTGCGAAATCCAAACTAAGTCCAGTGTGATGCCATTTTGCGGCCATGTTTGAGTCACATACCATCATACATAATGGCAATGTCGTCCCTCCTAAGTTCTCTCACTGGGAGCTCTTTCGACGTCGCAAGATTCGTGCCGACGTCATCCATTGCCACATCACGAACTTTCCGGCTGACGGGTGTGAATGACTTTTGATGCATTGGTTTTTGCAACCCAACAACAGCCGCAAATCAGACCAGCTGCTCGTAGCCTATTCCTACAGAGCGCGCCGCACAACGGCTTTCACTTGCGAGCAATGCTTTTTTCATTCATAACGGAGATAATTACACAAGAAAAGCATTGTTCAGCTGCGCTGCTCGACAAGACGTGGACCCCGCAAATAGGCTTCACAGCACATACAGGCGCGCAGTGGCCAATGGCGGGCCCCGATTCGTACCACGTGATAAGCCAGTCGCGGCGCTCGAAAAACGCGCAAAAGCGTGCTTCTTTTTATTATTTCTTGCGCCGCATCAGCGAGGGAAACTGTTGTTACTTGAAGAGTGAGGCTCGACTCTTCGGCTAATGCGATCAACAATGGCGAGCGGCGGCGCATTATCGGTGGCAGGGTGCTAGAAGACTGCACACTTTGGACCTTTTAACAGGCACCCTGTGCTCTTTAGATGCAATTTTAAAGCATGTCCAGTTAAGTCACGACCTGTATTTTTTTTTTTCCATAACAGTAGAGGTACTAATCTTATCAAAACAAGTAAAAATAAAAAAATCGGTAATTATGAAAAAAAAAAAAACTCGCGTTTTTCGACTTGCATCTTCCCTTAAAAAGAGTCTACTGTAGTTCACTATAATGGCTGCAGCCCACGCCGCTTAGTATTTGGATTGGATTAGATTAGATCCACCTGGACTGCTGTATTTTTCACTTTACTATTCAGTATGTGGATTAGATTGGATCTGATTCGACTTGAATTGCTGTATTTACTATTGATTTACATTCCTGCCTAATTTGTACACCTCTGAAACATACATTTTTCAGCAAAAGAAAACCTACTCACGTATGCTGTGCACATTGCCTTGACAACTAATGACAATGTTGCAAGAACAGAGCCGTACTTCAAAATTGTCTTTCTCTCTTTCTTTTTTTTGACGAGCACATGCATGTTGGGGTTTTATTTCTCTGGGCTCTGACATTTGGAGTGCAACAGAAGTCCTCGGATGCCTGCAATGAAAGCTAGGGGTAACGTTTAAAGTGGCGACAATTGAATATGTGGTGGCAAGAAGGAACCTGTCAAGTTGCAACAGTTTTCTCGATCCCACAGATGAATCCCAAATATAGGCATGTTACCTTCGTTAACGCACTCTTCTATGACAAGATGCTAAAAAGTAATCGCAGATTTAAACAATCTCAAGAAACTACAGTGAGAAACTTAGCTAAGTTATCCAAATGCTATCCTTGAAATACGAGCTACCAGCAATATGAGTGTAGCTGGAGATGTTTGCTGTTGCATCACCAATAATAATAATACTATTAATAATAAAAGGAATGAGATATCCTTGCAAGCTTCTAGCCCAACAAGAAGGTCTTCAAGACGAGTCCAAATTGTGGCCAAGACAAAAATGCACAAATGTGCAGTGAGTAATGTTGTGGTACAAAAGTTACGCTGTGTGATATGTAGAAGCAACCGACATCAAAATAGTGCATGTACCAACATACAAGTTAGGGAATGCTTTAGTCAAAGTGAAGGACAAGCTGTTGAGCAGAAATTTCCCCTGTCTTGTTTATGCCATAGCCTGTCACAATTATGACAACCGGTACATCGGTGAAACTAGTGATTTCAAGAAAAGAGTTAAACAACACAAATATGACATCATGAAACGATGCGTGACCTCGAGTGCTCTCATTGCACACGTGGAATCTACAGGCCACTGAATTGACTGGTCAAGCGCATGTTTTGTAAAAAGAAAAGCTTGCATCATGCTTGCACCTGCAACTTCTGCACATAGACGACTTCACTTAGGATGCACAGGAGTCACAGGACTTTTCAACACCGCTTAAGAGGGCAGACTGGTCTTTGGGATCAAAAAGTGACAAAAAAAAATCATTTTTTAAGGTTACCACATTTGGTTCTGCAAGTATTTTTCTATATCTCTTCAAATTTTCACACACCAGGAAGTGGTAATTTTTTTGTAATGTCATTCTAACTGTCCAGATACATGGTGCTGCTAACATGCAGAACCTGCAAAAAAAAAAGGGGGGGGGGGGACAGACTTCAAGGCTTCTTTATAATTTGCTGGCACCTGTGTTAGAAGCTCTGCTAGGAATTTATGAACACGTTTATGAGGATTGCAAAACATGCACACCAATATTGTTGCTTTTTCAAGAAGCTGTATGCTTTCACTTTTTTTCCATTTTTCTCAAAAAAGTAAATTTATGACTGTTCAATTTTGAGACCTCAATATCTCTGCAGCTAGGACAGGTGCAACTATAATTCTTTTTGCAGTGGAAACCTGTATGTGTGTAGAATGCAAGTATGGGAGCAGAATCTAGAGCACAATCCTTTTTAATTAATTACTCATTAAAATTGTACCACTATTCCAACTGCTTTTGAAAATGGATAGTTCATTTTTGCTGTAAAATAACCAAGGCCTAAAAACAAAAAAAAAAACTCTTGCATACTTTCATTCTATAGTCATTAGTCTTTGTTGGCATATCTTAAGTATCACTTTTTTCTATACGCACATAAAAAGCACTTTTTTTCTATAATGACCTTAAACAAGAGGGGGTGAACTTAAGTTATTTCAGGAACAAAATGAGTTACAGGAAAACTAATTGAATGTTTGAAATCAGCAGCAAAAACTGCATAATCCTGTGCAGTTTGACCAAGATCAAGGAAGAAATAAACAAAAATATGTCTAAGACCAGTATGCCCCTTAAATTACGTACTTAGGCATATGCTGTGCCTTCCTTATGACTTTTATAGTAAACAAAACTCCTATAATGGGTGCCGGAACATCATTAACTGCTGTGTTATTTTGTTGGGTTATCCTTTCGCGTCTATACCAAGAAGCAACCGTTATACACTGCCCTTTTTTTTTCCGCCTCTTCTAACAGTTCTCTGTTGTAGCAGCCAAAGAGCGACTTTTTAAGCTTTTAATCAATAATGCTTACTTTTGTGACGGTCGCACAGGCTGCTGTCATTTTCCATAACTTGGCCTGGTTTTCCAGAAATTCCCTGACCTCTCCACAAGGGTCCGAATTCTCCCGACTTCTCGGGGTTTTGCAGGTTGGTAGACACCCCGAAGCTTGTGCGCTTCCTATGCGAACCAGTTGCTTAATGAAAAGCTAGCCATGAAACTTGGCCAGGTATCCAATCATTGTCTCCTCGATATACCATCCACACCCTAGCATATTCTAGATGAAGCCACAATCTACAGCGTAGGTAGTGAATTCGGAGAACCGATGATTCTTGAGTTACTGTTACGTGCACCCACACAAAGCAAAAACAACACTAGAATCTGAATGACTGGAATGTTGTTTGAATTAGTGAAAGGCACAAGCAAAGCCTTCGTAGCTCTTATGCGGAGGTGCCCGAGCAGAAACAGAGCCTGAACTAAACCATGACATTCAACATATGAAACTGCTTAGGCCAAGTGTACTCATCCCTGCAGTGCTGCAAACAAAAGAAAACTGAAGCAGCCCAACACACACACACGTAAACTTGCGGCCTTGACTCACCTATGTGCAGGTCTTGGAACAGGCTGTCAAGCGCTGTGTGCACAGTGGCCATGAGGCGACCCAGCTGCTGCGACCAGGCCTCCGAAGCAACCGCGCCCTTGTTGCCACCACCACCAGCTCGGCGACAACAAGGAAGCAGTGCGACACACTCGCAAACCAGTTCCTGGAATACATAAGATGAAACTGTGGTTTTGGGATGTTAAACCCCACATATCAATCAGATGAAACTATGCTAGCACAGATTATGCTCTGGCGGGTAGAGAACTGGTAGGAAAAGCATAGATTTCGGAAGGGCTAGTAGTTGCACATAAACAAGTTATTTTTGTGCCTTAACTATATTCGCTGCATAAAAATGAGTACCAGTATGACAGCTGGCATCTGAAAACTAGAGCTGTGTGGATAGCAAAATTTTGAAGGTGAAGTGAAGTCGAATAATAAAGTTTGAGCGTCAATCAAATCGAATGCTTTTCGAGTAGTTGTCAAATATTTGTTTAATTTTTTTTTAGTACTTTGAAGTAAAACTGCAGCAAAAAGGTTGGAGAGGATTCCTAAGCACATTCTTATGAGGTAGGAACATGGAAGTGTTTCTTTTGGCTAGGATGGTAAACTGCTGCAGAATTGGTGTTCACTAGTTGCCTCATTCATGAATCAAGGATGAGGCAACTAGAAGTTGCCTCATTTGCCCTGTAATTCAAACTTGCTAATCTGCCGTGTAGATGTCAATGTATAAAAACATAAAAAATTTCGGATGGTAAAAATCTTTTTTCAATTTTTACGGACTTTTAGATCTGAAACGACATTAATCAAAGCCCTCACCTTTACCCGGTAGATTTGAACAAGCGCTTTCGCGACTCGATCTGCTTACAGCTGTAAGGTAGCCCTAAAAACAGCTTTGCGCAACACCGGAGTGCGGTGCAGTGAATCGTTCTAAAAAATATCAAGGGACTGTTTTAGCGGCGCAGTGCATGTAAATGTTAAAACCAGCATTTTTCTCGGGTTAAAACGGGGACCTGCAACACTTCTTGATCAGGGTCAGAAAACGCTGCTAGTCGGTAGTAGATGCTCCCGACAACACACGAGCCAAATATTATAGCGCAGCACGCAGCCTGGAATTCACAATGAATGGTCAAAGTCAGCTAAAAAATGTTTTTCTTCTCTCGACAAATGACAGAAGACGCTCGAAAATCAAAAGTAGCAAGCCCATCTATCAGCCGCTGGCTAATTCGAATATGGCACACTCGCTCGTTACAGAGATCGCCACGGGAGGCCGCTTCTTGTTCACACGTGCGCGCGCGATCACACTGAAAAAGCCGCACATACGAAGAAAAAAAAGAAAGAAGTGCTCAAGGTCACGAGGCACGGGTGACATAGTTTCCTTGCCCCCGCCATCCCTTCCTGCTTAGCTTCCAGCGCTTTCGTCGGAACGAGAGAATGCAATTGCAGCATGCGACAAATCTTTGTAACTTCACTCGCACTGGACGGATTCTTAAAATTTCTGCGGCGTTGAATTCGTAAGGCAATAAGCTCTTCCAGTGAATTCATTCCATGTTTACTTAAAGAAGTGTTTCAGGGCCCCTTAAATATATTTGCTGCTGCAACAGAATTTAAAAGACAACTTCACTGGAATGTGTGAATGTAATGGTGTGAAGCATATAAAAAAAAATCTGAAAGAGCCAGTGCCAATTGGACTGACTATTTGGTTTTGGAAAGTTGGAATATCTTAAATAGTTAAAGGTCCAGTGCGAACCAAATCGAATAGCAAACACTTTTAGAAAAATTTTCGAAAGTTCCAATCGTCGCACACTCTTACAAAAGACTTCACTGGCAATCATGTGCAGCAATCCATGACACTACTGTTGTCCCGAGTAACAACAAACAGTAAAGCACAAGGTGGTATGTTGCCCATAGTCATATTTATGAGGTCGTCTGATAATTCAAACAAAATCCTTGGGTCCCCTTAGCTTGCACTATCGAAAGCCTAGCGTAACAGAATGATACTGCTACAGCACCAGGTTGATGGACCCCTGGCTGTCACAAACACCTGTGTTACCAACAGGTTACAATGACACTCACTTGAACCAGCTGTGAATTCCAGGTGACAAGCAGCCTGAGCAAAGTTTTCTCCAGGGCGTCCTAGAAAGAAGCAAGAAAACAAATTTTAGCAATGCAAAAGTTCGAGGCACAACTTGAGCTTCAAACCTTGGCAGCCAAATAGGAAAGCAAAATAGAAATGAAGGCAGGGCTATCAGCAATGCAATGCAGGTACCAAGCAACTTAGCTGCAGTAGCAGTGATTTGAGAATGAGAAAGATGCATACTTGTGCGACCCGCAAGGGGAGTGAAGCAAGACAGAGGAAAGGAGAGTCCATCTTTCCGAGAAATTAAGTGCCCACAACATCGAGGTACCCCTGGCTCTTCCCGCGAGAAAAACCGGGGTGGCCCTACAGCGCTGAGAACTGAACCCACTGTCTCCCGCATCAAAAGCAGATGGTCTGAACAATTGACCATTGCTGCGGTACATGAAACACCACATGACAGAGTAACCTTATTAACATGATAAGGCCATTGGGAGACAACGCCTCTGCCTTGTTCGAATTCACACTATAGATGCTTCACAGTGCATACGCGCTGTAAAGTAGGGGCTTAGCAATACATGCATGTATCCCATTTTCTCCAAAAAGTCGTCCAAGGTCCGAGCATCCTAGAACCCGTAAAAACAGCAGATCACGCATTAGCACACAAGACAGCTTTGGAAGAATCTAACACAAGTGCGAGTCCTGCAAATCTTCATACCTGGCAAGCTGGGGGTACCAAGTGTGAACTGCTTTACTTAAGAGATTTTAAAGGTAGTTGTGACAAATCCAGTCTACACAGAGCCTAATGTCACAACTACCTTTAAATATATACTGTGAATTACTTTGTTACACAGGAGCCAAATAACTCATGTAGTGGTAGACAAAAAAGATATTCCACCACACTGTTAAAGGCAGAAACTGGTTTAGCAGTTAAAAGCAAACCAACTTATAACAATATGTAGATATCATAAAGATTCCACTGTTACAATCAATAATTGCCATAGTGAAGTTGAAAGAATAAAATTACCGTACCCTAAAGCCTCGCCTTTAAGAGTTGAACGCGATAGGGATATCCTGTTCCTAGTACGTACTTCAAACACATAGTGCATGAAACCTTTTTTGAACTCGCTATGCACCCACTACGTGGCCTCAAAAAATCCCTGAAACACTTTTTCAAGAAACCATGGCATGAATTCAATGGAAGAGCTTATTGCCTTACGAATTCAACCCCGCAGAAATTTTAAGAATCGGTCCAGTGCGAGCAGAATTACAAAAATTTGTCGCATGCTGCAATTGCATTCTCTCTTCTCTCGTCCCGACAAAAGCGCTGGAAGCTAAGCAGGAAGGGATGGCAGGGGCAAAGAAAGTACGTCATCCGTGTCTCGTGACCTTGAGCACTTTTTTCTTCGAATGTGCGGCTTTTTCATTGTGATCAAACACGCGCATGGACAAGAAGCGGCCTCCCACGACGATCTTTGTAACGAGCGAGTACGCCATGTTCGAATCAGCCAATGGCTGATAGATGGGCTTGCTACTTGTGATTTTTGAGCGTCTTCTGTCATTTGTCGAGAGAAGAAAAAGCAATTTTTAGTTGACTTTGATCATTTGTTGTGAATTCCAGGCCATGTGCTGCGCTATATTATTTGGCGCGCGTGTTGTCGGGAGCCTCTACTACCGATCGGCAGCGCTTTCTGACCATGCTCAAGTGTTGCAGGGCCCCTTTTAGGGGGGAGGCTACCTTCGAAGGGCAACGTTTTTGTTTGTTGAGATATCTTAATGAAATTTTCAGGGTACACTAATAGCAAAGCCATTGAATAACCACAAAGTTTAATGCAGTTATGTTCACTGGTTCCCAAGTTACAGCCATTTATCAGGGTAGTCCACATGGGTCCCTTAGTCAGGGTCTGGAGAATTTGAAAAATGTGCTAGCACTGTGAAATTCACTATGATGATTCCTGGATAGGTGCTTTAGGGCAAGACAGAGCCCTTTTTTTAAATTTCCTTGCCAAAAAATGTTCGCAGAGCACTGAATTTAGTGTTCACAATTTGGCTCTCATCAATGAAGTTTTAGTTAATTATTACAAATTACAGACACAATAAATTGAAAAAGCGGGCTTGTCTTGCCCTGGGCAATTTATTAAGGTGCATAATAAAAAAAACCTGATAGAAATCAGACCAGCAGTTCCAGAGAGATCACCTGACTAAGCAGCCTCACTGGCCAAAAAAGTCATTCTGAGAAAATTGACTTCGAAAGTTTCAAACATTTATTATGGTCTAAAATGACCCTGCAGAGTAGCTAGATGTGTCCTTAGGCTCTCTTTTTCTTTGCCGCTTTTCCTGCTTCTCATTCATCCGTTTCTGAGCCTTTCTCAGACGCAGAGAGTCTTTCTCTGCAGCTCGTTGAATGGTTAGGTGGCCAGGTGTGAGTCCCACTGATGACGACAACTCTTGGGTGGCCCTGTAGCAGCCGGCATTATACCGCAAAGCTGCGTCATGCAGTGCTGTCTCGACAGCAATCAATGATGCATGTTGCTCCTTGGGCATCAAGGACCATAGGACAGAATGGAATGACTCCATTGCATTTTGCGTCTTTGCTCCCAGGCAGCGTTGCAGTAGAGAAGCCTGCGAAAGGCGCTGGTAGACTGGCAGCAGCGCTTCTGCAACGTAGCCCGGAAGATTGTATTTGTGCTTTGGAGGTGGCACGCCATTCCCCTTGCAGGCATTATGACGGCACCACGAGTCTGCACCTTCCGGGCACAAGTCATGGTGAGGATCCTCGTCAGTTGAGGTGACGTGATAATATGACGCCATCACTGCACGCTGCATTGCAGCCACATTGTTTGAATTGTTCCGCAGTGCCCAGCCATAATAGTCTGCGAGTTTATCAATAAGGGCTTTTGTCAATCTGCCCTTCCCTCCCAGAGCCTGTTCGCTTTTCTGCACAAGATTACGTAGGGCTGTGCCCATCCTCTTCCGGACATGGTTCAAGCATCCTTCTTTCACAATAGGGACTAGCCCATAAACATTGTCTTGTTGAAGGGCAGAGAATGTGGTGCTGTCCCCATCAGATACAATAGTTGTATACCGGAGGTTATGCTTGGACAGTGAACGTGAGAACAGAGTTACAGCTGCTTCAACCTCCATCCTCCCAGACTTGGCATCAGTGTTTTTTGGCACATATGGTGCTTCAACTTGCATTCTCTCTTCTCTCGTCCCGACAAAAGCGCTGGAAGCTAAGCAGGAAGGGATGGCAGGGGCAAAGAAAGTACGTCATCCGTGTCTCGTGACCTTGAGCACTTTTTTCTTCGAATGTGCGGCTTTTTCATTGTGATCAGCACGCGCATAGACAAGAAGCGGCCTCCCACGGCGATCTCTGTAACGAGCGAGTACGCCATGTTCGAATCAGCCAATGGCTGATAGATGGGCTTGCTACTTGTGATTTTTGAGCGTCTTCTGTCATTAGTCGAGAGAAGAAAAAGCAATTTTTAGTTGACTTTGATCATTTGTTGTGAATTCCAGGCCACGTGCTGCGCTATATTATTTGGCGCGCGTGTTGTCGGGAGCCTCTACTACCGATCGGCAGCGCTTTCTGACCATGCTCAAACAGTGTTGCAGGGCCCCTTTAAGGGAACAGGCACCGTAGGGTGTGTGCCTTCTGTAGTGGATTATCGGCTTTTAAACCACAAAGAAATCATGATAAATACATGTTCTGATACCCGGTGGCAATGGGCTCTTGTACCACCGATATTACTGCAATATTTCATGCCGCATTGTGAGCCATGTATACAGGATGCGTGTTTGTAAAGCACTTTCACTGCATTTCCAAGAAGAAGAAGTTATTTTCACAGTTATTCACAAGCAGACACGTGGCCATGTGGTAGAACATCCACTTGCATTGCAAACGAACTGGGTTTGATCCTGACTCTGTCCCAGAATTTTTAAAATTTATTTTATTTGCATCATTCTCGATTTTTCAGTCACGCATAAGATGATAATTTTTCACTCGCAACCAACAATGCCGATGCTGAAATTTTCGCGAAACAAGCTCTTTAACACTATCGCGTTGAAATGAACGAGGGTCGTGAAACTGTATAGTACAAGGTATTTCAGGATATTTATCAGAGATCCTCACAACCAAGACAAGCACAATATTTGCTGGGCACCTTTACAGCTTCATTTTCCATGACAGCATACAGCCTGAGGTGACAGCACAAATTCAGTTATACAGTCGAGCCCACATATAACGGCCCCGCTTAAACCGAACTTTCGCTTAAAACGAACAATATCCGCATAACCGTGAAAATATACATTGGTTCAATGGCACACAATCGCACTTACAAGGAACGTCTCCAAGCGCCGCTGATCGTTTACAGCGAACAGAGTCAGCGGTCTGCCAACTTCCCAGGAAACCAATTTCGAACACCGATCAGGCATCGGCGAGTTGCCCATACATTCCTATTGTTAAACGCCGACTCTACCTCCGCAACCTTCTAGTTGCCGCTCTCCCCAACCCATGGAGGAAGGAAAGCTGTTCCCTTCTTTCATGCCCCGACTGCTTTTTGTTAAGCACCCATCCGTCCTTTGTCCCCCCCACTACTCTGAGCACCTCGCATCGCCAGATGAGGCCCGTATTTTCTCACTGCTACCAATGTTTCGAAGACCGTTCGGCCATCTACCCTGTTTTTTGATCGCTGGTACTGTCGTTGGCGTCGCCGGCCTGGAGTGACCAGACCATTTGCCAACATCGTCGGCCACCGACTGTATCCGATAGTCTGCACGCGCGTACGCTACCCCACCGACTCCGATAATTTGCAATTCGTTTTGTGTTTAGGACTTGTTCTCGCTCACTTCGCACTCGGCTCAGCATGCCTTCCGCACGCATGCGGAAGCACGACAACGACTGTTAGTTTGCACGCAACGAATCCCGAAATATCGAAGTTCGTGAGGCCACGCAAACCCGCCGGCACAACAAAACGACCACGGACGCCGGTTCTTCGAACACCGCCGCGCGCACCGATCCAAGCGGTTGTGCTTTGACTTCTGCGCGCGCAGGCACTCTTTCTAAGTTTTTCTACATGCGAGTTTCGCGGACCTTTCAAGCAAGCTACCCACCCTGCCTCCTTCCCGTGAGTTTTAGTTTTCAAGGTCGCCTTGAAAACTCCACTCTCTTATCCTCCACTCTCTTTATCACAACTCCTTGCCCTTCTCTCGCAAGTCTGCTCTCCTCTTTTGATTACAACCCCTTCGCCCATCTCCACTGCTCCGTGTTGCCCGCTACGCTGGCTCAAATAAGTTTCGTTTTTTGACTGTAAATGAGCCCAGATCTGTTCCACACATTCTGGCATGCGTGTCGCGTGTACGCGTCTTGCTCGCTCTTGGTTTTCGTGTGTGGTCATGATGGCCGATGGGAGGACTTGCACGCTTTTTCCTGCCGCTGAACAAAACGTCGTAAATGTGACCGCTTGGCTTAAGCGTAATGTGCGCGTTAGGTGCTGCGTTGCGAAGCGCTTGCTCATAGCTGTTGACCACCTCACAGCCAACTTGCCGCTTCGGGCGTCCCGGTATTCAGCTGTGGAGATGGTGAATATTTTGTGGGCGGCGGTGACGGCTACATGCGCGTGAAACTGTTTTCCCGAGGCCGACTTCGTCAACGTCGAGCCCGATGCCGAGCCTGAATCTTCCGAACAGGAGCACTGCGGCGACGATTTGTGGCAGCGCGTCGTTGACTCCGACCTGGGAGAGCGGGTGGGACATCTGTTGCGATGATTTAATTACGGCCGATGATGATGCCAACACTGCGGAACCGTGCACGGATTGGGGCATTGTGAATGAAGTACGTGGCGAGAGCGATTTGGAGGAATCGGATTGCAATAACGACGAAACTTTGGAGCCAGTGCCTCATGCAGCTTATGCCACGGGCCTCGGTGAACGAGCACCCTGCCGTTTTAAATGAACTCGAGACCGCCCTTATCGCTTCTGCTCTTCAAAACACGTGCATCGCGGTCTTTTTGGGGCAAAAAAAGTCTGTGTTTTCACTCGCAACTTTTTTAAAAGCTGTGTTTCATTTACTACGAACTTCGGGATACAGCGAACGGATTCCGCGTCACGCTCAGGTTCGTTATAAGTGGGCTCGACTGTAATAATAAAACTGAAAAAAATTTAAATAATTAACCTTTTCATCAAAGGTAATATTATCATATATGGGGTTTCACGTCCCAAGAGAAGGCAAATCCGCGAGATGGAGACGGAAAATTAGGTGGGCAGATGAAATTCACAAGTTTGCAGGTATGGCGTGGTAGCTGAAAGCACCGGATAAGTTGATTCGAGAAACATGAAAGAGGCATTTGCCATGCAGGGGGCGTAGTTAGGCTGATAAAGGACACTTTTGTATTTTCATGTAACCACCCCTAATGTAATAACCCCTTGGGGGTCTTTAAGGTATTAAGCTGAAGTGAACTGATAATGAGGACGATGTCCCAAAACCACGATATGATTATGAGTGACGCTGTACTGGAGGGCTCCAGAAGCTTTGAGAATCTGGTGTTCTTTAACGTGCACTGACATTGCAAAGCACACATGCCTCTACTGTTTCCCCTTTATCGAAATGTGACCGCTGTAGCCGGGATCGAGCCTGCGACCTTCGAGTCGGCAGCCGAGCACCGTTGCACCACAGGGGCGGACTTTTTTTTTTTATTATTATTAAAGGAGATAGGTGGTCACATTAAGTAACAGAATCGGCGTTCTTCCTACGAAGAGAATGTTAGCACTGTAGGATTTCCAAAAAATGTGGTGCAGGTAATGTTTTGCAAAGAACCTCTAGCACTAGGTGCACAAAAATACGGCACACCAGAAGCCACCAGCCACATTGGCTTGCCTCACCTTAGCACCTACTGCAGATTACCAGCGTATACATATAAACACTTCTCTGCTCATGGTGCCTTAAATAAGCTGCTCCACCTCACGAAGGAACAAGTTAGGGCTAAACCAAGTGCACAGTAAAGTTCATGCCCACCTGAACAGAGCTCATCAGACGGCCATACTCCTTCATGCAGACCAACAGGCACATCAATGCACCTTCGTCAGGCTGCAAGAAAACACATATGAGAATGCATGAGTGCAGTGAATTAGAAGTGCTGTGTATTGGTTGCATATTTTTTTAAGCAGGGAGACATAATGAATCTGTATTACGGTGCCACGATAACAATATATCTGTCTTTTCTTGCATATAACCCACCAAAATTTTTTTAATTGAGCATGAAGGGATGGTGCCACCATCTTTGTAAGGCTTGCACATTCTTTGCTGCAAGCATTTCTTATAGCTCTAGGAAGCATGATACACACACCAGAATTCATTTATTTTCACTAAATAAATTAATATTGCCTTTTTTGTGCAAACAGTTCTCGGTTTCTGGGCGCTGAATTGGACTGGGACATAGCAGTGTAGCTTGGTCACATGGCCAAAAAAAGCTGTGACAGACGTCGTGCTGATTATCATCTGCTCTCGTTGGCTTTCTCTCGCACATGTGCAGCACAAGCACCTGCAAAGCAAACGTCTAGCAGTCACGATCCTTTGCAGTACTTACCTGGTAAAAGTTTTTCGGAAGTTACTCGCCTCACTACAATAGGCATGCACATGGGAGGGGGGTACGGGAGCGGCCACTCCCATAGTCACCTATGAGGGGGTTGTGATAACACAGCCCCACACACTGACATAATAGAGAGGGGTCGCACTGCGATCAGCCTTTGTTCCCCTGAAGGGGAAATCTGCACACGTCTAAGCTCACTACAGATCTAATGTGACGTCACTGCAACTTTCCTTACCTTTCCTACAGTACTACAACAGTTCTGAACGCGCTTGCCATGGGCTTCAGCCGAGAGAATGAGCCTTTAGGTACACTTTGGAGGTGAATTAAAATATGTTCTAAACGTTTTCTGTCCAACCATTCGTGTAGAGTGTCCTAGCATACAGAGGCTTGTTTTAGCCTTGAATTTCGATGGCACCACCCCTTTAGGTCAAGACAGAAAACGTGAATGCTGGTCTACAAAGGTGGCTTCATAGCAGTGCTTCCCAGCTATGCAAGAAAGCTAGATTTGTGGCCACACACGAGGATAATTTTTTTTAGTTTTCTGCGAATCGTAGGGAGTGCGGGTAGTACTCAAGAAAATACAGTACTAGACGTGTGCGCAAAATTGAGCACTTAAATTCGTGTCAAACGAATTTAGAGCTTTCCAAATTTCGAAGCACTTAAACAAATAGACGCATTTGATCATATATAACCTATGTGAAATGGCGATTACAATGCAGCATGCACCCACTGTGCCATGAAATAGCTCATTGAGGAGGTTCTGACGTAAGTGTTTCTCCGTCATTACGTTGATATGACATGAACTGTACCCACTGAAAATGAAAGGATTTGCCTAGCAGCGCCTTAAATTTTAGCGTTCAAAACCATGAACAATGCTACACTACTTACGAAAGTTTACAAAATGCGGGTGATAACTGAATTCTGCTATAGTTTAAGCATGCAACCCGCCTTCTGTCTACACTGAGAGGCTGCTGCAGACCCATTCCGAGTAAAATCAATACACCCTTTTCGAAAAGGGCGCCCCTAGCGTCGCGGACGTAAACTACAGTCTGCCCCCATTGTGAGGGCACCGCAGCAGACGACGCATGCTGTGTGTCCCAGCTGCTCGTCCAACCCGTTGAAGCGTACAAAATATTGCTCAGTGTGCAGCGGAACCAGCTCAGAAAGCTTATCGGAGAGTACTAGGAGCTCGTTCAAGCTATAAAGCAGTGCCACTGCAGCGGAGGATACGGAGAACTAGCCGCCAACACAAACATCACAGCACTCACGCATTTGACGGCTCGCTTTCTATGCCCTCATGATGGCGCTAACTATCCCACGCTCCTTTGCATAGCGAAACTGACGAAAAGCTCACCTTCAGGTGGCGTATTTATGAATAGGGTCTATTGTATTTCCTCCGTCCCCAAGCCTAAAGTTTTTGTTAGTGGTGACACCACCGATGTAGCTAAACAGCAATTATAACTAGGTGCTTAAAAGCTAGACAGCCCACCTCTTGTTCAGTCGGTGATGAGAGGTGTGCCAGGAGCCTTTCTAAAAGCACAGGCATCAGTCCTGCAGCATCTCGGTTCATCTGTTCCGACAACAGAGGGAGTAGACGACACAGCAAACGCCAGCCTGCTCGCTGGGCACCCCGAGGTCGCTTGCCCTGTGTCATCGAACACACTGACTCATTAATAAAATGCAAAGCAATGGTCCCTTGACTGAGCAAGCACAATGTCGCCAATAAGAAACCCCGCCTCTACATTAGAAAACAAGTGGCCACACACTAGCTAATTGAATGAAGCATAAGAAAGTGGCAGTAAGAGGAAGCAAATCTGTATCTGGTGCCACCAATTGCTGGCCAGGATAACTAGGCATGGCCAATAGGCAAGCTTTTATTAGATAATTATCCTGGCTCCAAATATATGATGCCAGAAGCTAACTTTCTTCTGCTCAAGTTCAAAGCAGCTGCCGCAAAGCACAGGTCATGCACTCACGTGCTCCATTCAATAAAAAAAAACGCACAAACTGATTTGGATTTGATTTTACATTTCCTGAATATACAATATAATAATAATGTAAGCAAACAAAAGAGGATTGCCAATAAGCTTGAATCACTTTTGCTCCATTATCAGACCTCAATGTGTGGTTTTTGGCACTCATCAGCTGTCCTCTAAAAACGAAAATAGGAAGACTGCACCTTGCACAGACAACACGCCGAGACGCAGCCACTTATGTGTCAAATGGAATGCATGCTAGACAACACTTACAGCGAGAAGGTGGATGATAGACCGTGTCCAAGAGAGCGCATCCGCCTGTACAATGCCAACTGGAAATGTGCTGAGGTAGCATTCCAGAAGCAGCAATGCATCATAGCTGCAATTACCAAGGAATAATGTAATTACAAGAAAAAATTGGGCAATGTCATACTACATGATTGAGAAAGATCTGCAACAAAGCAGACAGCTTTGCAAGCCCAACCCCTCCCACAGAAAAGTTGCGTTTGCCACACCCCGCCGACTCTAATATGCCCAAGCAGTTACTGTACTCCAGGATATGCTGTTGTGAGATAAGCAGGTGCCGAGAAAAACAAAGCACACCCCCCCCCCCACCCCACAAAAAAAGTGGCTCTTTCGGAAAGGAGCAACGCTGTAGTGGTTAGAATGCTCAACTTAAAAACATGCAATGTAGTGTTGACTGTCATGTCCTCCTGCACGAGAGCCAAAAATGAGCAAATGTCCAAACACAAATGGTGCGCTTCCCAGCTTGTGTTTATTGCTTGCAAGAAAAGTTCAGTTATGATAGTCCTGGCTGTGGTCATACGTCATCATTGTTTAGAATTTCGGAGACGATGAAACCTTTCATTCCCTAATTTACATTACAACCGCTCCCACCGAGAACCTGGCAGGATGGTTAGGGGTATGCATCTTTTGCCTATGGGAGTTGAATGCGATAGCAACATCCTGTTCCTAGTGTGTACTTTAAACACTTAGCGCATGAAACCTTTTCGAATTTGCTATGCACCCACTACGTGGCATCAGAAATTTTTTTTTTCTTTGGTAGAAATGAATGAAATGATAAAACAAACTGTGCGTGCATTTCGTGCCTAATATTTGATTTTTTTCTATGCAAAGATTAAAGCTGACTGGTTGCAGAATAGTTAGATGTTTAATTACATATAAAGTATCATTCATTGCTGAAGCTCATACCAAAGAAAATATTCCCTTATTTTCTTTCTTCGAATACAATACTGAGTGACTTGGAATCATGCCATGCGATTTCGATGCATTTACAGACAGCAGATTATAATATGCGCTTGAACAGGATATGAGGAATTTATAAACTATAGAACAATAAGTTCAAAACTGCAAAATAGAAACTAAGACCAAACCCAGATTAAGAAAGAATGCAGGACAGAGTGTGAACACAAGATGGAGGCAAACAAACCAAGCGCACAATTATATGTGTGAATGTGGTCTCAAGATCAATGAATACAAGGGGCATACTTCTGAAGAGCACGGTAGATGATGCCGCTCTTAAGTCTTCATTTTAGTTGTGCTTCTATTGTTATGAGCATTATGAGCTTATAGTAACATGTACACATGCCTGTTATCGTAGAACAGTGAGCTTGCCAATGAAAGCTACTAGGGGGACTATTTATAACTATGCATGATAGCTATAATTATCCTTTCATATTTTTTTTCTACATATTATGCAAGTGTCAACCACATAGCATGTCGGTTCCTCTGTAATGAAAAAAAGGGGCACAATAGTATGCAAACATGCGCGCACATTTTCTCGACTTCCACAGGAAAATGGCCCTGCAGGGGTTATTACCGCAGTCCCATTCCCAAAAAGCTGGCATGGGCAAACCAAGTGTACAATTAAAATATGCGAATGAGGCCTCAAGGTCTATAAATACAAAGTGCACATACTTCTCGCGAAAACAGTGTGGTAGATGATATGCTTTTCATACTTGTGTGGTAACATGAAAAATTCGGACCCCTTACGCATAATGAACGGACAGAAAAAAAAAACAATAGTATAGACGAAATGATTACCTAGTCTTTTGAGATTGAAGTAAGGATTTCACTTTGGTTGCGACGACCTTTGGCGTGAAGTCCGCCTGCAAAGAAAGTGAAAAGGCAGTCAATACGGAGCCACAAGGCCGGCAAATCAAACGTGGCGCTGCACAGCCCGCGTGATAAAACCTCCTGAACGGTGGAGATCAGCTTCACGCCAATTCAAAAGCGCCTCCAGTAATTCACACGCCCAATTCAGTCATAGCGCGCCAGTGACAAACTATTTGCCGCCTTGGTTAACTCATCGGCGTTAACAGTGCGAGAAGCAGCTAGAAGTGTGCCATACACGTGCGCTAGTTTGCCTCGCCGCACGAAGGCGGCTGTTTTACAGCTACGAGAGCATAAAGGGCGCGAATTTCTCGATCACAAAATACTACGCGAAATTTTCAACGGCATAGACGTACCAGTCAGCAAGCTCAGCTGTTGTTTTCTTTATTTAGGTGGTTTACCCGCAAAGCCAAGCTCGCCGCTAGTTTCAAATGCCAACGCCGACTGACAGATCCGTCGATAACTTTCCAGCGTGTCTTTGAAGCACTTGGGAAGTTCGGACTGATTTTTCGGGGTTAAGTTTTGCCTGCACAGGGGGCTAATTAAATGTATATCTGACATTTCTGGCGAGCGCATAGTCTCCACGGGTGCACTGGCAAGCCAGCTTCACAGACATTTTCATGCGAGGCACCCACCTGGCCGAAGTAGTCGGAGTTGGCCTGTGAGGCTTCTAGGAAGTTTAGCTTGCTCTTTGGCGACTGCTTCGAGTCGAAAGAGCGTTCGAGCACGGTGAACATGCTCAAAGACCCTAGCCGTATAGTTCCGGATACTCGCAACTGACCACGAACCACGACACCACACGCAGCGTGTTTATGTGGGCTGGTTGCCAGACCTTTCTGAAGCTACGCTATGGAAAGAAGGATGTACCCTGGTCTGGCAATGCTCATCGCAGCTGCTAGCGCCACCGCTAATAGCGCTATGCCTGCTGCGTCGCCCACTCTTCCATTGTCCTTGCTTCACCGTGACCGCTTCTCGGGTCCACCACAAGGCGGCGCGAGGTTCTGACATTGCCTGTTCAGTCAGGGTACTTTCGTGGCAGAGTAGAAAGCGCGGAAAGCCCGTACTTGCCAGCTTTCTCTTTTTTTTTAATTGTATCTGCGAGGTCACCTGCATAACTAAAGCTCATTGTCGGCCTGAAAATGCATGAAGCGGAGGATCCAAGAATGCAACAAACAAAAACATCAGGATGACGGCAGAGAAGAGCCAGTATGATGAATTTATTGAATTCATTTTTTTTATAAATACTGCAATCTTCTAGAAGATCTTGGCAGCGTGGTGCTATACGTACATATAAGTGCATAAAACAGAAAAATGACAAGTGAAAACAATCAATGTATTTGCACTTGAGTTTAAAAGAACAAAACAAACAGGCAGATGATGTTATTTCAGCATTCTTCAAACCAAACAGACAATGACTTAGCATCAATAAAAAAGGAATAAAATAAGAAACGCACAAAAACATCTCAGCTAGGCAAGAAAATGCTTCCTACTGAAAGACATGGCTTTGTAGGAAATACAATTAAACTCCATTCATAAAAAAGTTAAAAAAGCAGAAGCACCACTTTCATGCAATGAGCACTGAACATAGAACAAACATATCAGCTTGTAAGAAGGGCACTGTTGATAAAGCATACATGCACGCATAAAAAAAAAAAAGCAAAGAGAAACCAGATGCATAACTCCATACACAGGATTCAAAGTTTAAGCACTTTGCGCAACAGTGGCTTTTTTTTTATATAATTTGGCCACTGCATTTCCGTCAGTGATGTCCAATGCGTGGTTAGAAAGCAATGGTTTCATAAATTTGTTGCATATCAATTCCACAAAACTACTTCTGCGGCTTTCATCACATTGATCACATCGCAACACAGGTAAATTTGTCACAATATTGACACTGTGCTTCTTGCACTCCTCAAGAGGCTTTCGCAGATTCACGGTCAGACAGCATGTCTACATACCGCTTAAGAACATGCAATACTCTGATAAGCTGCTGTGTAGGATAGAACAGACCACCTCTGTCTTGGTGTGTGATCAGCTAATCCATACCAAAGTTCCCTTTCGGCTTCTAGACTATATGCAACTGTCACACGCAGTTTTTTCGCTCACTAGACGAATCTATATGTATCGAGTGACAAGTGCAATGGCAGCCATGTGGGAGTAGGTAAGAAGCTGCTCGTCGACATGCACAGTTCTCGAAGTGCTTGCTGAGCAAGTTCTGCCATCTATTTGAGCGACAGTTACTGCTCGTGAACAGCAGAATGATGTAGAACTGCTCACGTTACTTTTCTATGATGCTGCAACGATTCTTGTCTTCGGCATCTTCTCTACCCCACAAAGTCCATCCATGACGTCGCTGCATCCTGCCGTTCGTCTCAAAAAACCAAAAGAGGATTCTATTAGGTCACTATAAAACTTTCTTGTGAGAACAAACTGAAAGTTGCACTCGTTCATAAGAAATATTATGCACTCTACATTTGAGATGGTTTTAAACACTAGTACATGGTATGTTTCCTTGCCTAAAAAGTTTTCCTGTAAGCTGACCTCCTTCAAGTCTTCGACATACTTCAAAAAAAAAAAAAAAATAAGTTCAAGCCACTGCAGCCTTACGTCTTTGGGGTCAGACAATTATATTGTATCAGGATTGTTTTGGCGAATGTGCTGTTGGAAATTGCTGACATTCATCAGCACAAACCACCTGTACATGTTCTACATGAACTCACGGTTCGACCTACATTTGCGAACTTTAGATCACAAGTGTGGCCTGCCTGATTCTTCATGAAGTGCAAGGCAGCTGTGACCAGAGGCGAGAGCACTTGGTTGGCTGTTCTCACTCCCATTTTTTCAATGTTCGTGGGAAAAATGTGCTTTCTAGTAAGTAATCACCACACATAATCACCACAGAACACCTAGCTATGGCTGTAATGGTAGTTCTGTGTCTGTACCACAGAACTGGCTGTACCCTTTAGATCGGGCTGCGGCTAACGACACCTAGCCGTAATACTTAGTGAACTAACCACTAGATTTATCTCCTTTTTTTTTTTGTTCCTTTAAATATAGTGAAGTTGAGGACAGGTACTTTGCAGTGAAGGGTTTAATTTTCACTCGTGTCTTGACTTTAGCCACCAATCAAATAATCTTCTAGTTAATTCTACACGCTTAAAATCTATTTTGCCCTCCCTGTCCCTAAACCCCAGTACTTTGAAAAACCCTGCGCCATCATCCTAAACTATAGGATGAAGCCCTTTACAGAACATCAAGTGTTCGGCAGTTTCCTCTTCCTCTCCACATGCATGCACTGCATACCGTGTCTACCCCTTTGTATTTGGACCGATATGTCTTGGTTCGCAATACTCCTGTCCTGGCCTCAAACAGTAGAGAACTACCCCGAGTATTATCATATATCCTTTCCTTGGCAATTTCCTGCTTAAAAGTTCGATAGATCTCTAGTGCGGACTTCTTAATGTCAGTCCCCGTTTCCTTCACCTTCTTAACTGATAGTTCTTTTAATTTGGCCCCTGCTGTTTTCTAAGTATTTACCCATTAATTTTCTCGTTCGTTTCCTCCATTTTGTATCGACATTCTTCATGTACAAGTAGCTGAAAACCCGTCCCCGCCCCGTCGCGCTGCAGTGGCTGCAACTGACCCTACGGCTGACACGCGCTCTCCCATAGAAAGCCGTTCAACGCGGCAGGCCGTACCGCGCGCTGTTTCATCCAGTGGCCGTGCTACTGGTAGGTGTTCTATGGCATCATGCGCCCTACGCGCTACTCAAGACGCGCACTTAAGGTCCCTCCATCGCGCAGTTACGGCTTTTTTTATAAGGCGGGAAATTTAGGCTTTTTAATCTACGTGCTTGTAAGTACTTACCACATAAGTCAAACAGGGCCCGCCTGCCTGGTGGTCATGGCCCCATCAACTAATAAGGACTTTAACAAAAACAAGTTCATTAGACTATGAGCATGTAAGTTTAGAGCCCTGCCACTAGAGCAAAGGGATACCTTAAGGCCCTGACCATACAAGTTTTAACAGTGGGGGTTCCAGCACCTAAACCTTTGCACTGTCAATTCACTTGCCAATTTTCTGGTAAGGGGTAGACCCCTCTCTGCTTGAAAGATGTATCATAAGGTATCCAAAGATTAGCGTATGCAGTCACCTTGGCTTGTCACCTATGCAGATGCATGAAAAATCAGCCTCAAGAGTAAGCAATTTTATAGTTTTTGAATTGGGCAGCCAGGCACTGCACTAGTTTGATGTGTGTAGGCACACCATATATCTTTCAAAAAAGCGTTTCTCATCTACAAATCGAAAAGTAAGAGAACAAAGCTCCAAACTTCATGGTATAAAAAAATTTGCTCTGGAAAAGGCTTGAGTTCGCATAGTATTAAGAAAACACAGGGACCAAAGCATTGAAAACTAATTGAAAAAGTGGTTGGTGCACGTGCATTGGCAACAGCCTAAGGCAAATGTGTAAGCAAAGTGCAGGGTACTCTGTTCTAAACCTGTTCATCATGTGCCCAAGTCCTGAGTACCCATTTCTGAAGATCTCTGTTTATACAGTCTCCGTTGACTTACTGTGTAAGACAAAGGTTTGGTTTACTATTGTGAGCATTCAAGTGACCAATGTATGTACAAGAAAACCTGCCCAAGAGACCCTTTCATAATCTGAAAATGCGCTGCAGATGTGCCCAACTAATGGTGGCAGCTACTGTCCTAGTCAGAGGAGATGAGGTCCTAGTCGCACGCGCTGGGGCTTGCGTATTACGAGTGTTTATGTCGAGAGAGCCGCGTGTATGTTTTCATGCTGTTTGCAGCAACTGACTTGCCACCCTTAGTTGGGCTAATGGCATCACAGGAAAGAAAGCTTTACAATTAAGGAAAGGGTCAAAGAAGATACCGAAATCAATCGGCAAAAAAGGCAAGCAATAGACTTGGGGGGCTGGTTGTTTTTGGACTTCCGCGAGCTATCCTTTCTGTCCTGTGTAACCATACGAGTTCTTTGAAATTGGCAATTCAAGTGCACTCCACATGTCCTAGCTTCCCATAGGCACGAGTGAATGTAATTTACAAACAAAACATTGCCTGTATGCATGCGATAGTGTAATCACAAATAAAATGTGTCATAAACACCACTCCTGAAAATTGCATAAAGGGCACTGGAAAAAAAAAAAAAGGTGATACAAGCAGATGCCTGTTTATTTGACAACACAGAACAACTCAATGTCAATAATTTATTTTTTCAATTCAATGAATTTACATATCTGTACATAAAATACATAAATCTACATGATGCGAAATTTATGCCGCTCACAAGAGTCAGCACGATTCTGAAGCAGAGCTCATCTTTTTAAGTTAAATCTGTTTTCAATGGTGACAGGCTGATGCTTGCTGTGCCGTGTGTAGAGAGTAGCGGGAGGCAGCGTTCAGCAAAGCCCACTCGTTTTGTAGTGCGGCCAGCAAGCAACACAATCCTTACTAGTGTAGATGCGGCAGCCACACAATCACGCACACCATGCAGTTCTTTGTCAATGAGCAAGGGTGTGAAGCTCGGAAGCTGTTGGTACTCCTTTTTTCAATGCGGCATTTGTCAAAGATCTTTTACCAGGAAACCGCCTGCATGCCTCATCTCTTATCCGGTCAGTCAGTCAAATCCAATGGAACAAACGACGCATGCGCACCACCGCAAAGAATCCAGCACTGTTCTCTCAATCTATCACTACACAAAAAATTCAAGCCACGAGTGATGACTAAAGCGACAAGGGCGACCACAGTGGCATTTAGATACGTCTGTCAGTGTCCTGTACTAGACCGTTGGGACAGTACTTAAAACATTTCTGAAAGAGCTGAAAGTGGACAGCACATGCATTCAGGCACACTCGAAATCACACACAGTAATGTGAATGAAACGACAACACTCGTGACGATGGGCAACAAAAAAAAGTGAGAGTTACGATACCACCGAAAATGTGGAAAGCCAGAATTTTAGATTGGACTTGTGGAAGACAGGCAAAGAAGCGTGCCACTGATGCAACTTGCAATATGCTGCACATTTTTAGGTTGCAGTAACATAAGCCTTGGGTGAATAAATTTGAGAATATGGCAGACATGCTTGATGTCATGCCCTTGGGACCAATGCTGATCAAGCTAAATATTAATACTTGTGCATATATTTAAAAAGCTTACGATGCATTATACCCAAAATCAAGCAAGGGTTCATGCGAGATGTGCCAGCAAAATGCCTGGCTCAGAAATGTCCAGTGGACATTGTCGTGCAAGTACGCAACGTGGACATTTTGGCTGCTGCAAGCCATGCCGCATTCAGGACCCATGACTTGCCAATAGCACACAGAAAACATGAAACTTGTGCGGTCACTTTCGAGTTGCTGTTGAGACAAGAATGTCAGTTTCACATAAAGACCCATTAGCAGTGCCAACGCAACACAGCGCAGCAACATGGCAAAGACATGAGCTGAAACTGATAAAAATAAATGCAATAAACTTCAATATAAGTGAATAGTGCGACTAAATACACCCCGAATGAAAGTATATTTTTTAATGAAGGTCTGCAAGGCCAAAAGCCGCTGCATTTTGTGCAACAAGTTGTCGTGGGGAAAGAAAGCAATAAAAATCATGCCCCTGGCTTCCAGTATGTGAGTATGATCACAAATGCAGCCACACAAGCGTAGCAAAGTAAACTAGCCGCACAGGATGAAAACAACGTTATCACACTAGGTTCATTTTCACGGGCAGAACACCGACCCTCTGCCAAGAGCGCCATATTCTTGGAACAAGCAGCGAACGGTTCGTGCTCGAAGCATAGCAGAGTCAAATGAACGGCACAAAAAATATATTTGTATTGTATCTACATACTGCATGCCACAACTGCAGGCTGGCGTTTATCGCTACGTCATGAAATTTTTCACGTCACACACAAGTGTCACTACACTCGTAAAAGGAGGGGGGTGGGACTGAAACTAGACAAAAGGAAATGCGCTTTGTGACAATCACGTGCCCTACGCTAAAATGAAGAAACGGCACAGGACAGACAAATTCGAGGAATAAATACACTAAGCATCAACAACTGTGTCACTCATTGAGTTTTTTTTTTTCTTCAATCCTCCCTCTTAAACTCTAAAAACTTAAACAAACTGAAGCAGCAGTGTCCATCACAAGATAATGAGTAGCCCCAGTACCGCATACTTTGAAGAAGATTGTAACATTGTCCCATGTCCCAAGAGGAGCGAGGACAGAAGGAAAAAATCGGGCTAGGAGTGCCACCCTATACATAAGGAGCTTTGGGAGAAAAAATGTACACAGCTGCCTGCATCATGACAAACTCACTGCCGCATGTGCTGCAAGGTGACTGGAATGTTTTACATGCTCTGTGCAGGGAGTACGGCGCTGAGCTCCCATTTCTGCTTGTCTGTAGATGCGCTGGCTGGCTGCCCATAAAGAACGCAGGGGAGAGGAAAAATACTTTGAACATTGTCTCATTCATTTCGCAGTATAGCAGGTAACTTGCATCTTAAAGAAGTACTGACACGACGGTCCTGTTATCGTTTGACATGTTGCATGAAGGTCCAAGTTTTCTGAAACCTCCAAACAAACAAAAAAAAATACTAGAAGGCAGTGTACCATCCAGGATAATCTGCAACTTTTTTTCTTTTTATGAACAGGTTTCAGAGATTAGGAAGAGCATCTGTCACGACCCAGCAGCATGCTCCTTTCTTTCAATCACTTCAGCTGCCAAAAACTGCACGCAGACGATTCATGTGCGGCACTCTTGTCATTTTTCTGTGCATACGTAATTTGGCGCCACAACAAATATCGACATCCAGCCCAGCCTCGTAGCTAGATGACATATGCAAGACATACGTAACTACACGACATGCACTACTTTACGTCGTGACAAATGTAAATGACACCATGATAGCGTTTCCTAATTGACTGCAAAATATCACATTGAAATGTTTTTATATAACTATTCCCAACCTTCATAACTGCCAAGCCCCATCGCTTTCAAGTGAGTGATACGAGTTCATACAACTTCAAAGGTGTGTTTCAGTACTTCTTTAAACAGTTACACTCTTGTCAACCTGAGCGAAAACTGATTTTGCGTGGCTCTACACAACTACCGATGGACGTTTAGTGGTTCCTATTCCCAACTGTTGACGCTACATTTTCGTGTCGTGCCTCTTCCCAATTAAAAGAACTCATCCTCGCCGGTCAAACAAGGCTCAAACTGTCTGTGCAGTCCAGTATTTGAAAATAACATTAGATGGCAACCGCAAGGAACCATGTCAGCACCTTTGACCTCATAAAAAGAATATCGACAGTATGCATACCCGCTGATTGAATCCCTACATGTTGATTTCAATTAATGGCTCACCCACACGTCCCACTTTTTATAGTTAACACTGAGATGAATTCAAACTTTAGTTACTGGGAGTGGGGGGCAATGTAGGTGACGCCACTTTCAAAATTTTTTTTTAATATGCTGCGGTTATATCCGGTTCTTTTTCAAAAATTTCTGCGATACTACAAAGAACTTGCTAATTACTGCTAATGTGATACACATGCGAAACCTGGAATAAATTCTGATCTTGGCATGCAATGAAAAAATAAAGAAAAGAGTGTTTTCCAAACATCTTGCAGCGTGTTTTCTTTTAGTCTTTGTTTTTATAATTGCAACTTCAATGAATAAATGTTTGCTAAGCCAAGACCACACTTCCATACTACTTTGCGAGAAAATTGGCTGAAGAATTCAACAATATGGCATGCAACATAAGCTGAAATAATCAAACAAAAATTTTAGGAAAAACAATGTATATAATCAATAAATGGCAACAAAATGCATAAAACTGCACCCAGAACATGAATATGTTCCATGTTAACTCTATAGAAAATAGCTGCAGAGCTCACAAGCGTTCCACGTTTTCAATATGTGTTATGTCTTTCCACTTGGGAGGTATAGGTACAATACTGAAATTGTGTGTTTTTTTTTATAAATGCCTAACAGAACACCAAAAGGTGGTAAGTCATAATCCTTTTGAACAAGCCGCCAGACGGCTATATTCTTTTTTAAACCACTTAGTATGCGTCATAAAACTGTTGAACATTGATTAAAGCCAAGTGCATACTCTCCCCTATAGTATTTTTAGCACCAAGACATAAATAAGCATAATAAATCTTCTGGACAGGTTCCCAAAAATAGCAGTAACATAACGCTTTCGCTGAAACTTTAAGCTTGCAGCTGTTCTAAAAATAATAAAAGAGAGTCAATTCTGAACACATGTGGTCTGACTTCTAATTTAATAAAGGCCTGAAACTTTCCAGTCAGCTCACTCCCCTGGTCATGTCGAGCACAAAACACAGTAAACTTATATACGTGTTCTTCAGTCATTCAATCACAAGCCCGTAAGTTCACGTGGCTTCTGTATGTACAATGAATGTTGGCCTAAGCTCTCGTGTAGACAACGTAAATATTTCCTCCAGATTTCCCACCTTCCCCGATCCCCCTACAGTGTCCCTCTTTGGAATCTCAAGCTACAATATATTACTCTCTAAAGCTCTCTTCTGAGATGAGTCACACAAAAAGATGGGAGGACGCAAGAGCAAGGGGCAACAGCTTGCCACCACTGCCATAAGCGAGGCATTGTCAAAGGGCAACGCTATCAACATAAACAGAGACAATGTCGCGCTGCAAAACAGCAACGGCAAAAAAAAAAAGTTATTGGACGAAGCGTCATTTCACTCTACGATTGCACTTGAAGCAGCCACCGCTTTTTCACTCTGTATAGACGACAGGAATGGGACAATGTGAAAGTTATGCAGGGTTCCATGAAATGATGATGGGATCACTCTGAATCCCCGCAGATTGCCCACAAATACACAAGCAAGATAGAAGGAGACGAGGATGCGCAAGGAACTTCCAACATTCAGGATGAATGCGACTGTCAAGTGGGGCCAGTTTATATAGGCTGTTCTTCAGGCTCGTCGAGCACACATTGCCTGTCCGTACACGGCAACCACAGTTACATCTTCGAGACGGCGTGCCCACATATGCGTCTCCACACACTGTACACTTGCAGCCCTTGCATCGAGGCGCAAAGGATCCGAGATGCATACCACAGCAGCGGTTGAAGATCAACGACGGCCGCTGCGGTGGCAGCTGTGACGGCATCAGGCAGGGTGCATTTGCAGACAGTGACGACAGCGAGTGCGCTGGGGTGCTCATGTTGCTGTGGCAGGCATTAGCAAAACGGGAAGTGCAATGGGCATGTTTGCCGACCAGAGCATGATGTACTTGTGGCCTCTTGTTCTAAAGGTTAACCCACTGCTACACAATGCTTGAGATTCACTGCACGTGATGAAATTTCATAAATTTCTGACATGGCATCAAAGTGAAGAACAGCAGGTTTAGTGATAAAGCCAGCACTAACCCAACCAGCCTGAACTTTGAAGGCGCAAGTCCCTGGTGTGCAAACAGTGAAATGCGTGCAGAGACCGACTTGGCTAAAATTTCCCAATGTTTTGCTGCCTGCATACAACCCTTCTTCTGAGACCTCAAATAAAATTATTATACACTGCCCAAACCAACGCTAGAATGTAGTTCCTAGCATTAGGTTATATCCCAAAAAGACTTGTGTAGCTAAGCCATTACTGTGTGAAGATTTCCTATCCATGAAACATCATTTTAGTCACGAAGTGCAAAACAAATTCAATTGTACGGTATGACTGATATTACAAAATACCCAATCAATCGTTCTTCCGATGAGTACAGCTTTCAGTAATTCATGTACCTTGGTTTGTGACAGCAACTAGTAGTCGATGACCTTGCTTGTACAAGTACTGGTTGTTTTAACAAATGCAGATGCACTGCCATAATTTTGCGTTCTCATACTGGGAGAACTCACATGCTAGGTCACTATGCCATTTAGTTTTACATAAAACACTCTCATCATGGTCAAACTGAAAGCAAGCAACCACTGCTGCATTCCATCAGTCACATCTTAAGTGTCGCGAGAACCTCACGAAAGTTATGTTGTATCCACCAGCTATCAATATTTTTTTTTTTAAGTTTTGCTCTTAAATACATGCATGTATAAAATTAATAAATTGCAAATTAGATTTCTGAAGCTGAAGTCTAAAAAAACAGAGACAGAGAGAGAACAGAGAACCGAAGCAAACATTTGTATAGACTGCTTGAAAGACTACTGTTAACAGATTCAACCTAAGCTATAATGCCTGGGCTGACAAATGAGATCATGATATCAAGGATGCTAGAGCACACTGGTAGATCTTCACATGAAAAAAACGCACTATGCGGTAAAACTTTAGCGAGAAAAAAAAAAATGAGCTGGCAAGAAACACGTCTTGCAAGTGACTAAAGTAATAAGCAGTCACTGCTACTGCTAAGCATAATTCAGATGAAATAAAGTTTTTGCTAGAAGGCAACAGCTGACACATATATGCTTCCATAGGTGTAATATGGCCAAAAAACATTATTTTATAAGTTGAATTTTGTAAGCTAGTTACTACCCCATGATGAATGAAGTCAGAAAGCATACTTTCTTTTTCTATCCTGCATGGAAACTCAAGGCTAGAGGCCGCTACAATGAGTTGGCTTACTTCATTGAGCAGAATGTCAGAAGAAAAAAAAAGAAAGCTGCTGCAACATGCAACATTTCATCATTGTCAGTGTGGCTCATGAGGCCTTGTAAGCACCCTCTGCAATAGTCAGACATGCCACAGCAGATGACAAAAAAACAAAAATGTGCCAACACAGGTTGTTCTGTCTAAGCATGGGTTTGCTAATGCCTTCACTTCCTTTTTTACTCCCTACTGCGAGAATGGTGGCAAACGAAGAAATCGACAAAAAAAGAAGAAAGAAGGGAGATCTCACTGTGTTGCAGGTGCCCTGTGTTACAGGGCAACTATGAAACAAGCAATATCATCTAGCACGTTGAACACCAATTGTTCATTGGGCAATTTCCTACACTTCAGAAGTCTTAGAAGTAGACATTCTGTGCCTGCTGAAGCAGCGGGGCTCAGGCTAGGCTCAGCTGTACGAGGTGACGCTGAGTGATCTGTGCCTAGAAATCTAGCACTACGGCTAGCTCACACGTGCTAGCCAAGCACTTCTCAGGGCCAAATGTGAGGCATTCCCACAACCTACATATAAGAATTGAGTTCAATTAATGCTGATTAAACTTGCTGAAGAAGTCGTCCAAGACATACCTATCTCAATGACGACAACATTCTACAATTTACACTATCACGGCAATCAAGCCTCTGTCACTTCGTATGTTCACACTACAGCTGCGAAAGAAAATTGCAAGCCTGCATTCCCCGTTAGATTTGCGGCTTGACGATCAAGTGTCAGAGGTAGCAGCTACAGCTCTCATGCTGCAATTTTTCGAGCATGTTGTTCTCACGAATGCATTAACGGAATGTAATGATTCTTCTCAGTAAGAAGAGTTTTCTTTTTTGTACATTTTTCTAACAATTAAGCCCATATTGTTCACATCTGCTTATTACTAAAGCCTGTAGGTGAATACGAATGCAATTACATGGGTGCATAACCAACACATGGCTTTCTCTGCAAGATTGCGTGTGTGCCCGCATGCGCACGCTAGATTTCCGAGGCACAAGCTACCCAGAAGAGCCTGTCTGAAGCACAAAGTGGGATGCTTCATCTGCTTTACGCGTTTCTCTGCCTGCAGGTGTACGGTCACCTGGCAGAAGGAAGGCCAGCGTTCTCATCACTCTTCCCAGCTTCAGAAGCGATGTCTCAACCCACAGCCACTGACCCCCCCTCTCTCAGACAGGCGAGGCCACTCGCAAGCTCGCGGTCCTCCTCCACTCGCCCCCGTCATCTGTCCGCTGACCACTGGGCACCTTACGCACAGACGGAAACGGGTGGAATTTGACGTCGCGCGAGCTCCCAATGGTGTGTCGCCGTTGGAGTCCCATGGAGGACAAGGGTCGCCGGCGTGTGCCACTCGTAACAAGAGGTGCTGCCGCCTCTCCTTCGACCAGGCGGCTGACCAATGCAGCAACAACACCGTTTTCCGAGTGCCGCTGCTGTGGTCGCCCCACTCCTGCCACCACTTCGTCGTCTACACGGTAGATAGCATAGCGTGTTGAAGCCCCATTCAGGCATTGCTTCTTGCAACGGTAGGTCACTGCAGAGCCGCATGATGTGCCACTCGAGGACGACGTGGCCATTTTCTGCGGGATGTTCTCCTTCTCGTGCAGAGAGTCAAAGAGATTTGCAGGCGACGGCTGCATAGGGGATTGGCCGGATGGAGACTCCATGGTCTGCGACGATGCTGTGAATTGATGGAATGTCTCCGGGCAGCTGGAAGGCGTATCAACGTCATCGATGATGCCATGTGTGCGCAAGTCCTTCTGGAGTAGATCTGTTCGTGGAAAATCAAAGAAGTTTGCAATAGTCAGGTGAAAACCCAGTTAAAAGAAAAAAAGTTGCGTCGCCTATGAAATGCTGTCATAAGGTGTGAGTTATAACAAAAAGCACCAAGCAAACGTAACTAACACACAAAATATAAGTTAACTTTCAGGCTTTGAAAGATCGTTTTAGAAGAATGACAATTTATGCAGCATCAGCATTTTATCTATTGAGCATAAGCTTACAGTAAACATCTTCGCCAGCAGCGGTGCAGCGTCACTAGAGCCTTGAAGCCACTATATTCAAAATACGCTTTAAAAAAATGCAAGCAACATTTTATGAATCTTAGCGTTTAAGATAACATTGATCGCGAATTCATTAGACATAATCCAGCTGACACGCAATGACGATGCGTGGGCTAAGGTGCCTCCAGTGGAGAAAATTTGAGGAATTATAGACACCAGCATTTTATCGTTGCAAAGATAAAAAATCTCCTAAGAAGCCTCACTTTGCTTACTCTTCATTGCTTTCAAACAGCATCACGCTTAACAGCAACACGAAACTTTGTCCTTTCAGTTGAAGAAGACATATGACAGACACAGATACACAAGAGCACGTTAACTTTGTGAAAACACTTCACCAAATCAAACGAAGTAAACTACTGCCGCAACAACTCAAAGCATGCAGGTATTAGTTAACAAATTGAGTTTCACATAAAAAACAAACAAGATGCAACTGAGAAATGTGTACAACTTAAATAGGTCGGCACACTGCCTTGCTAGCAAAGAAGGAAGGAGAGGGGGGGGGGGGGCAAAGCAACAGTTTCTGTAGACAGACACTGTACACCTACAGTAAAACATAATGTAAAGTGGCTTGCCTGCATTCTTTCAAGTTGAGAAACGTTTCTAATAGACATAGATGTAGCTGTGTGAAAGATAGGCAATTACCCGCGGAGTGCGTTTCATGTATTAGTGTACACAAGTAATGAAATTGACAGACCATTAAACCAAAGAAAGCACAGCGGATTTTACTTGTGGGTTTTTTAACTGTACTAAAATGATTCAGAGTTCAATCGAAAGAAGGAAGAAACTAAAGTGGACAAAAATTTTTTTTCGTATTCCTTTAAATTTACCTACAGTTTACCTGCAAATCATATGCTCTGTGCTTACCTTGGCCTGATCTTCTGTCAATTGCATTAGTTGTGTACAATATGGGTGTACCAGACGATTAGGCATAATAAACACAATCGGTTGGCTACCATAACCATCCTATAAGTGAAACGGACACCATATTTAAAAAAGACAACAATAAAAGCCAGGTCCAAAATAATTAGCATTGTTTTCAGGAACAATAAAACAAAAACTACTAATCAAAATCTTGCTTATGCTCATAGCTAGATACTAGAAAACATAAGCTTCATAAGGGTCAGAATACTTCTTTTTCATATGACTACTACTATTAACAATTGTACGGCATGTTAAAGATTTTTGTCCAAAACATGGCTAATTAGCTTAATAAATAAAAATACTCTAATTAAAATACTACAAAAAATCAGTTCCCATCTTTGTGGGCAACACTTACGTAGCTCAGTATTGCAACAGGATTTACAATTATAGGTCCTCTGATTCCTCAGAAATTGCTTCCGAAAGGTTGCAGAAAGTACAGAAAAAGATATACAGCCAGTTTTGAACCTAATGTAATGCAAGCCGTTCAGAATTTTTCTTTGTATCATTAGAAGATACCGGGGATATATAACCTGTATGCCTACTGCTGCAGCATGCATTCTCTAGTAGGAACATGGCAGGAATAAGCTCAGTTTTTGCTCTTTTCTTTCAGTTAAAGTACAGGCCATCTTTGCAGTGTTAATAGACCTCTACCAAGATACGTTACAGCGGGACGTCACCAGTGCAGGTGCAAAGCGGTGGTTGGCAAAATACTCCTGCCGGTGGATGAGTGGGGTGTAGTCACTCGGTGCTTGGGGCAAGTTCTTTGTTTCTTTTTGAAAGCTTAATCTTGATCTCACAGTGGGAACATTAGCTGTGGTTGTGTCAGAGAACATCTAGGTGCGTGGTAAAGTGCGTGAAGAAATAATTGCCATGCTGGCTGTCTGTTTATCTCGGAAAAGTGAACACACATGGCAGCCTGTGCAAGCAACAGCGGCATCGTCTTCGAAAATGTGCAGTGCAACAATATTGGTTCACCTTTACGGACGGTGAAACTGGGAATATTGTGCGTGGTGTGTGCAGTGTGAATAACATGATGCGTCCTGTTTGTGGAAACACTGGTATTCATTTTGGGCCGGTTGCAGTAACCGCTTGTTGATGGGACTTCACGATCTGACATTTTAGTCAAGGTAAAAATGCATTTGACGCGATCTTCTGCGAGTGGGTACATCTCAGCGTATGTGCAGAGTGCAGAAAAAGAAAAGTGAATTATCTCCGGTTGATATATACGACTACGCATGAGCTATAAGCAACTTGTAGCGTTGCCGAACCTGCGTATACGCTTCACCACAGCTATAGCTCGTATTATCGGGTACCTGATACGTGTTAATAGAAACAGCGGAGATTTTTGTTTCTTATCTATTTTGTATTTTTACGGCTCGATCCTTATGAAGTGACAATGCGCATTAGGAGTTTGTGTATCAAGCCTAAAGGAGCAATATAGGTATGAAAACACGTTATAGGTATCAAATTCAGCAAGGTAACTGAGCCAGATAAAAATAAGTGATTGGGTATTACATCACATGAATCTTCACTGGGTTATTGAGAAACGCAGCGGCAAAATTTCACTTTCATTTTGACGCAGATATGTTAGCCTCAGCCTAATACACGGCAAAAAGGGCTTTTTTTTTTTCATTCATCTCCGATCACACTTTTGCGCAATGATTGAGAATCTTATCCATGACGTCGCGTATAGCAGCTCAAAACCATGCTGCCGCCAATGCTGTACTCATTTAAAACTGCATTGCACATGCCACGATAAAAATTGATTAAGTTTACATCCATGCCATGCAAATATTTCTCGAAGTGCCAGTCACCATTTAAGACGTTCCCTTTCGAAACAGATCAGATTTTTTTATGGCTGCCATGTGCGTGGGTGAAGCCCAGTGCGTGCTAGTCGCATCTCTCAGTACTCTAAATGAAGTTTCTCCATCCATCCATATACGACGAGCGAATTTCCACACTGTGAGCAGTGACCCTTCCACGACCCCCTTCTTTCAAAAGCTGTGACTTTAAAACATAGCAGTGTAGAAATTTCTGTCGAAGGAATGCAGACACGCAGCTCTCTATGCAGAAAGATGCCGCCGGCTGAACTTTCTTGCCAACCAGCACCTGCTCCGAGAGAGGGTATGGTGGGCGGGGTGCCCGCAGTGACGTCACACTGTTTACAAACAGGGAGAGGTCTATTGCCATTATGGCCAATATATCTATCCAAGATGGGAGAAACTTTGTCAGTACGTGCAGCTACACTCGCGTGTTACAAAAAAATACGGTTTTTAAAAAAATTGATTAAAAAAAAAATTATTTTGCACATTGAAAGGCCAGTACCCCCTTAAGTGAAACAGACACGTTATTTAGAAGACAATAGTGAAAGCCAAGTTACTGTTAAATTCTGGTCGACAATCTTGCTTGCAACAGGCATCTCAAAGAAAAATCCAGAGCCACAGACTACTAACTGCAGTTGCATTTGTGCATTAGTTGTGCACACAAATAGAGCTGACGTGCCCCAACACTCACTATTATAACTTGAGCAACTGCAAAGAGGGTTAGTCAGTTATTAAACAGTGAGGAGAAGTCCTTACAATAGGAAAACAATGTGCTGGAGAGGCACGATGATTGACTGATTGATTGATTGATATGTGGGGTTTAACATCCCAAAACCACCATATGATTATGAGAGACGCCGTAGTGGAGGGCTCCGGAAATTTCGACCACCTGGGGTTCTTTAACGTGCACCCGAATCTGAGCACACGGGCCTACAACATTTGTGGAGAGGCACGGCACAATTCCTTCCGTATATGGCTTCCTACAACTATAGCTTCTTTTTTTCAACGCAGTGTACGCACGAGAGCTACATTCAGAGTGAAGTTCACTTGTGTAGGCAGGGAGCATAGGCCGAGGGAGAAGGGCATTGCAAACACACAGGTTCTTCAAATAATTTGGAAAAAAAAGACATTTCGTTTTGTTATTTGGCAGTGCTTCATTTTTCTGAATGCTAAAGTGAGGTTGAGAGCTCCTCTCCTTTTTTCAACCATTGTATTACCGTAATTACTCGAATCTAACGCGCACCTTTTTTCCGGTTAAGCGAGTTCATAAATCGCATGCGCGTTAGAATCGAGTACGAACAAAAAAATTACGGTCAATCTATTGCCATCGGCAAATCCAAAATGGCCGCCCCCTATGTGCGCCGGCATGGCGCACCTTTCCTTCCTCCGTGGCATGGCGCGTCGGCCATTTCTGCCTATGTGTTTCCCATGTGCGGCACTTCGTACGTGTGCTGAGGAGTTCGTCATCTAGTAGTGCATTAGCATCGACGGCGTGGAAGGGCCGACCCCGAAAACTCGAGTGCGCCACGATGCCGATTTTAAAAGAAAAGTCATTGCGTGTGCAGAAACGGACGGAAATCGGGCCGCATCTCGGTCGTTTGGAGTTCCCGAAACGTGCGTGCGGGACCGGCGGAAACAAAAGCAGAAGATTGTCGACAGCAAAGCTTCACGCAAAGGCTTCAGTGGACCACAGCAGGGTCGGTTTCCACAAATTGAAGCGCTGCTCGGCGAGTATGTGATTAAGCAGCGAGCGGCACAGCGGCCCGTGACGACAGAACTGCTCCAAGTGCGGGCTATGCAGTTAGCCTTAGAAAAAGGGCTAATGCAGAGCCATTTTAAAGCGAGCAGGTGCTGGCTAACGAACTTTATGAAGAGGAAAGGCTTTTCCCTCCGAAGGCGAACGGGCATATGCCGGAAGTTGCCGGAGGAGTACGAAGAAAAGTTTCACAGTTTTCAGAGGTTCG